GGCTGTGGGAGGCACTGAGTGCACTTTGGACCCATCTCTGTGTTTAGTGTGGATAGAACTCTGTTGTCCTATCCATGTAAATCCATCACTGCAGCCCATTACTTTAGTCTCACAGGCTCAGCCAAGGCTGGGATTTATCCCGTATCCATATTAATATCCTTTCTAATTACCTCAGTGCTTTCTGTTGTGCTGCCTTGCATTGCACCCGGTCAGATAACTGTCCCCTTGCTGCTGGAGGCTGTTCTTGATCCCATTTCTAAACAGAAGCACTTCTGCTCAGCACTGACTGGGGTAGCTGTGCAGAGGCTGCCTTTTTTTTTTTCCCTTTTGCCTGCTAATTGGCTGAGACCACCAGAATTTGGAGGACACAGATGTCACTGATAGTTTGCCTAGGGAGCACATTCATGCCCATCTGTTGCAGTCTAGAAGGCTGTTCATATATCCACAAGGCCTTCATTTAATTCTTGTCAGAAAGTAATGTAAATCCAGTTTACCTCAGAGGTCACAGCCAAGATTTATGCCAATGAGCCCCCTGCAATTTACACACACTGTAGTTGTATAGGATGAAAAGAAAGCCTTTCATGTTGGTGCATATTAACAAGAAAGCTTGCCTTAGGAGAGGCTCTTTGATTGAGGTTCTTCCTTATTTTAATACAGCCAATGTCGGTTGGTATATGCAGCTTTATTGAAAGAAAACATCTCATCTTTAAGCCAGAGAAGTAAAATAAATAAATAAATCCACTAGCAAATGAATTTTGCTGTTGTTTGGTCATCATCTTGTCTCTCTCATGTGGCAGAGCCTCCGTGTACTGGCAAGCAAGGTAAACGCTCTAGGAAAGCACAAATGTGTGTATATTGAAGCAGGGAACCAGATTTTCTTTCCATAGAGGATAATATTAAGTCAGTTGGTGAAACTTTTGCTATGAGACTAAATCATTTTAAGCAAGTTTTCCTTTTCTGCTTTTTCTTCTTCCTCAAGTCACCAAATCTGATAACAAAGCTAAGCCTGTTATTTGGGGCACAGGTAATGGGAAGGGTTGCAGAAAATATCTGCACAAATCCATGGGGTGGGGAGCTGGGGGTGCCCTGAACATGTGTGCTCACTACTATGTGCTGAGGGTAAAATAAATGTTCAGGTTCTCTCTTATTGACAGAAACTGATAGTTGCTTGGAAAGGCTGGCATAGAAAATATCGCACAAGGATGGATCAGGGTGTGCAAATGGGTTTCAGAGTTGGTACCCCTATTAAGATGCTCTTTTCATGTGCATTAGTTCTATGCCAAGGGGTGCTACTGGTAAAGCAAGCTATGGCAGACGCACAAATCTCAGCTAGACCGCCTCACTGCAGGTACAGAGCATGTGGGCTTTCTTCTTAGCAGCCTGACCAGTGGGTTTTGCTTTTGGTCCACGCTTTCAAATGTCACAGGCATAATGATCAGGATCACTGGCAATGTATCATAATGACTGGAGTGGTTTGGGATTAGGAGGGAGGAGAGCAAGGCAAGGCCACCATCTAAATTAAAACAGAACTCGTACTCTAAGTTCCAGTGTAGCACTTAAAATAATTAAAATGTTTATTTGAAAGTCAAAACAGCCTCAGTCATAAATAACTACCCTGTCCTCAACTGATTGTGTTGAGTCCCAACAGAGCACTCTGGGAATAAGGTTGATTTGCTCCCTGTTGGGATTAATCCATAAATGTAGCCTCTGCGTGGAACTCATCAGGTCTTTGCTTCCTCTTCATTAGTCTCCCTGGAATTGGAGGGTAGCCTGAGTAAGATGGAAATTAGGATAATGTATTTTCAGAGAGAAAAGCTCTGATGATCTCTAATTTGTGTTTCAGGACAATAATGCCATGGAAAATTTCCTAAATAATTTTGTCTGAGAAACAAATGGTTGTTATGCTTGCTGCATTCAGTGCATCAATTGCATCTTCTCTTTACTTGAGCCTCTGAAGTTAATTGTAATTTTACACTGGCCCAACTAACTCCCGGACTGCCTTCTGTCCACAGTATAACTTAAAAAATTTCTTTCTCTTGACAGACCTTTTGGTCTTCTAGCCCAAGGGCTCCGAAGTGTCACAGTATGGCCCACTTCTTATTGAAGAGATCATTTCTCTGTGGCCCACTCAGACCTTCCCTCCCTTCTCCCCTCCTTCCCTCTTGTTCTGAGTCCTAGCTCCCATTAGAGGCATCTGCAGCAACATGCTTCCCCTCTCCCTGAGATCTTTGTACTTTCGGTCATCATACTTGATGCAAGAAGTTACTGAAACCCAAGCTCTAACCTGAAATGGTGCAGATGTTTATTTCCATCATTTCTGCTTTGAACTGCATTGATTGCCCAAATCTTCACTGTAATATAAAATGGTCTTTATTACATGTTTTGAAAGTGGCAGCCAAAGTAGTGTAGGTGTGTCTAGGTGTTCTGTAGTAGTGGGTGGTGTGTCTTTAGAAAGCATTTTTCTGTAGACAACTGTGGAGTCATTTTTGGACCTACTTTCAGTTTTCAGCACAACTTCTTAAAGTGCTGCTTGTTGAAATGTATCAGCAGTGACAGAAAGCCAACTAGTGACTGTCCTAGGGCTCACCAGAACTGTGCTGGTTCTGCTGCTCAGCTCCACTCTCAGGTCCTGCATTTGCCACGTGCTGCCTGCAGGGTTTTCATTTCTCAGCTGCCGCACAGAGCTGCAGCTGTTACTAAACACAGCTTACAGCGTGCATCTGTGCAAAGGATGCTGCTGAAGTTTAAAGCTCTCTGGTGCATTTTCATCTGATTTTATGACACAAGTCATTGCCCCCAGTAACGGGTCTCAAAAGGCTCTCTTGCTTCTGAGTGTACCGTGCAGTTTATTGCACTGGTCTGTGTGGTTCCACCACATTGTTGTTCTTGCTGCCGTAAATCGCTATTTATTACACTAAGTGCCCTCGCTGTTTATTTAGTTCTTTGAAAAAACATACTTGAAGAAAAACCTCTCTCTTGCCGCCTTGCCTATATCCCTGTTACGGATCCAGCAGTTTCCCGGTGAGTTAAATCCCTGCAATCCCAGCAAGCCACGTGCTGCACTTCTACACTAATTTAAGCTTCCCCACTAAGCCCCCTCTGCTCTTTGTGCAGCTCGCACGCCATGCGGCTCACAAAGCCACGGGACTCTCAGCGTCACAGCACAGCCCCACACGCTCGCCCAGGTTGCAGCCCTGTAAGGCTGCCTGTAAGGCTGGAGCGGGGCTGTCGCTGCAACACAGACACGTTGGAGGGTGTCTGCAAGCTTGGATGCTTTTAGTACTGTGGTTTGTTGGTTTTTTTTTTTCTGTGAAGTGTCTCAGCTTCAGCACGTTGTCGTACACCATCTGGTTATGGACATATTCCTGCTAGGGCTGTGACATACTCCTGCACACTGTTAGCAGCCTCCTGCCTGCCTGGCTGTGGGTCTGAGCTGCATCTGCACCACAGCTTCTGGAGAGGGCTTCCTCGGGGACGGGACTTGGGAGAAATCAATTACACAAAGGAGTGGAGCCAGGGCCAGATGGCAGGAACGCTCCATCCAAACCTGGGAGGCACTCGTGGGACAGCCGTGGCCGCGCAGGGCTGTGTAATCAGATGAATCAATTAGCAGATGTCGGCATGGAGAGCAGAGCGAGCAACGCTAGCATAGGTGTGTGACAGCGATCATGGCAAAGGCGGACGCTTTTCTTTTCCCTAATGGGTATCCAGCAACAAGTCTGGCTTTTCTAGACCCAGAAGGGTGGGAGGAGAGTGCTTGGCTTGCTCCACGCGCATGCCTGGCTGTTGTCACCAAGCTCAGACATCCTTACATCGCAGGGCTGCCGCTCTGCTAGAGCACCATGCTGCAGCTGTCTCCAACCATGCCTCTGGCTGCTTCTCGCTCTGTGTCCATGCCTGCCAGCTGGATTCCTCAGCTAAGATGGGAGAAAAGCCCTAGGAAGGGCCCACAGCCATACAGCTGTGTGCTGCCACCACAGCTCTCAGCTAACCTTGCCCTGTGCTTGTGTGCTGCCTCCATGCCCACAGGTGGCCTGTTTTCAGAAAATACCTCTCTCAGGAAGGCACGTACAATACAGAAGTAGTTGGAGAAAAAGCAAGGCGTAACTTGGGGAGAGCAAAGAAGGGAAGGGCTGATAGCAGAAATCCCACCTCTGTGTTTTGTTGAGGGATGGGAACTGAAGCCTTTAATCTGTTTTAAGTACCCTCACCTGAATGCTATATCTTATTAGATTGCTTTTTCTGATGGGTTATTTTTCAGTCACTTTCTTGGCCAGCTGAGAGTCACAAATGCAGTGGTGGAACCTGTGCCGCTCCTCAGAGCACTTTCCCATTGCTTGAGCCATTGTTCACATAGCAGATACTCCACAAATACTGCTGCTCTTGGCACTGCATCCTGCCCCAACCTCCTCTCTGTGTCCCCCTTTAATTTCTTCTCTTCCTGCCATCCATCTGCAGTGCTAGCACAGCCCTGCTGCCTGGCCCCTGCCTTGGGCTCCATGCCGATGAATGCCAGCCCCACCTCACTCCACCTGCCTCCCTCTGCTTCTGCATGAGCTCACTGCTTCTGATCTCCAGGCCACCTGGTGCTGCCAGTTGGGATCCAGCCACCCCAAGCTGCAGCAGAGGAGAATTTCAGCTGATGAGATACAGAGCCAGCTGTGCCTGGCTGCGTGCAGTTCTGCTTTCCCCTTCCTGAAGCCTACAGCTTCACCAACTTCAGAAATATTTTCATAGGCTGTTTCCAACCACATCACTTTGAATTATGGGAGGAGTTCATTAAGCAAGAGAACGATCAGATTTGTTTTGTTGCACAGGAAAGAATGGAAGACATATTTCCACACATTTCATTTCAGATGGCTGAGGCAGAAAGCTTTTCCTTCTGCTCCACCACTGGCAACGCTGTAAGCACCCATCGGGCAGGCTTCTGCTCCTAGGGCTCCCCCAGCGCTCACTGGTGCTGCTGGAAGGGGTTTCAGCCATCTTCCTGCTCTGTTCAGCAGGTCCCTCTGCCTCAAAGGAGCCCTCTCTGCTGGAGAAGCCAAGACGGAGCGGTGGCCATGAACACCCACGGCGCAGTGGCCGCACTGCTGCAGGACTGTGAGCGCTCGTTGGCCACACTGCTGTCAGCCAAGGCAGACATCCACGAGGAAGAGGAGCAGGAATACCAGCGGCACCAAGGTGAGGCCCCAGGGACAGCAGGGCGGGCAGCCGCTCCTTAGCCATGCCCTATTTTTCTGCTCCTGGCAGATGAGAGCCAAGAGACGACTGGATTTCAGGGCAGTGAATGGGACGTGGGCTGCGGGTAGGCAGGGGAAAGCAGCCCACTTTGTTGTGGTGAATTGCTGTCAGTTCTAATTTTAGGCTTCAGTAAACATGAGGCTGTAAGGAACAGTTTAGTTGGGGAAGAACAATGCCCGAAAGTTTGCTGATGCACATAAATTTCAGTTATTAAAAAAAAAAAAAAAAGAAAGAAAGAAAAAAAAAAGAAAAAAAGAAAAAGGATGCAACTTCTGAATAAGGGCACATATTTCCTCTCCTTTCAGTGGGGCTGGGGGAGGGCCCTCTCTGTTTGTCAGCTTCTCCTGATATATTAAAGAGCTCATTGCCTGAATCTTTATCTCGTAAAATGCATGTGACCTCTGTAAGTGGTGTCCAAAGAAAAAACTTGCAGTATCCCTCTTGAAAGGAAAGCCCATGTCAGCTAATGGCTGGAATGAATAACCAGGAAGGGAAGCAGTAGTTAGGGAGGGCACTAGGAGAGGAGCTCTTCACTTGTTTCAGTGCTAGCATTGTGGGCTAGAAACATGTATTTCAGTGCTGTGGTAGTATGGGAGGTTTTAAAAAATGACTTACTAATTCTGGTGGAAATGCAGCTGATACTAATCACTGACAGGCTCAGTTCAGCTTTCTCCAGAGTCAGACTTCCAGAGAGCTCCACAACGTAACTTCCACAGTTTTTTTGCTCACCAATGAAGAGCCATGTTTGCATTGCTGGGCATGTGAGGGTCACACCTGTTCTGTGCAGAGCAGAGAGGTTACATACTGCTGTCTGCCGTACCAAAAAATAACTTCAGTGTGTACAGGGCAATGCAGTAAAGGACAAAATTGATATTTCTGGGGGAAACAGTACAGGCATCAGCAAAAAATTGCAAAACTTGAATTTTATGCAGGTTCTATGTTGTATTACACATCTGCTGTACCATCCCTTTTCCAGTTTAAACCCAATAATGTTTGGTGTTGCTTGCATGACCGGCTTGACCATCACGTCAATGTGATCTTTAAAACCCTTTGTTTGCCCAGAGTGCGGGGCTGCTTCAAATATGTTTCTGCGCACGCCTTGTTCTCGCTGGGAGGTCAGCCGCCCTTTCTGAAGCACCTCTGCCTGTCTGTGCTGGAGGGTGGCATGTAGATTTCTGCCAGGGATGCTGGAAGATTCTTCTCTTTTTGTTTTCAACAAAAGGCTACTTTGTTTTCTCGTCACAAATTCTTTAAAGCTTGATTATCTCTCCTCAGAATAGGCTCTTGAACTCCTAATCAGGTAGAGCTTTTTCCCTTCACCCTCCTCATCCCTTCTCTCCTATTACTGCAGCAGACAAGAAATAATCAGTTTAGTTCCAGCTAAGGTAAATCAGCGCCTTTATAACTGCTAGATTAGCTTCAGCCCTTCAGGTGAGCTGCTGGAGGAAATCGGCAATCAGAGCCTGCAAGGATCTCCCATCCTCCCCAGGACCTGTGCCTACAGGGCTCAGACCCATTTGCCCATTCTGGAAGGGAAAACTCATGGCCCTGTGGCTTCCATGGCCCTCAGAACCCTCTCTGCTGGCACTCTTGTTCTGGCACCTGTATTTCAGTTCATGGCTACAGGATTTTTCATACCAGCTCCCCAGCTACTTCATGTACTTATAGTGGATGTTTCTATGTCACAGTATCAAATTAATATCATTAGCATGCTAATTGCATTTATTTCTAACTGGTGACTACTGGAATCAGGTCAGGGCTCAAAGCCCAGCAAACAAACACAAATGCCGAACACCGAAGGTGGCTGGGGCTCATAGATCAGATCCTGCTGAAAACCTTGCTCTGAGTTCCTCTTGTCTCCATCCATAGTGACTGCTGGGGTTGCTTCTGAGAGTGAAACTTCACTAGTAAAGATGTTCTTTGTTCTTTGGTGCATAAGGCAGGAGGGTCATTAAGGCTTAACCAAAGATGACATGGGAGACTGGAAGAACTGGGTAGCAGAAATACCTGTATTTTTCAGAAAGAATACCAACATCCACATCATCCCATTGGTTGTTTTTGTACATTCTGACACTATTACTTTTCCTGCTTGGTGTTATTTAAGTAAGCTTAAGTTTGAGTGGGAAGAGCAGATGGCAGAGGAGGAGACAGAATGGCTGTCTGTGTGAGAATCCTACGACTGTTTCCCTAGATTCCCCCCCCAAAATCCTCCCACCCCTGTTGGGATCATACGGGGAGAGTTAATATCAGCCTGCTTGACTGTCTCCAGGCACTCTTTGTCTTCTTTTGAGGAAGATTTTGGGAAGCTTGATCTTCAACCGCTGGCCTCTTCTTGGCCAACCTACATACAGGGTCAGGCCCTACCTCAGTTTTCAGGCCTGATGAGGGGGCAGAGTGCCCCTATTCCTACCTAATTTTGCAGTGCCATCACCACAGGAGCCATGAGATGCATGGGGATAGGAACTCTTCTTCCTCTGGCCTTGCCTCTTGGGCTCCTTTCTTTGTACCGAGAAGGGCTAGGCCTCCTGAAGGTGTGATATGAGACCAGCAGGGCAGTGCAGTTGTGCTGTGATCTGATGGGAAGTGTGTCCAGACCTGCATCAGCAAGTGAGAAAACTTGTTGGAAAAAGTGTTTTAAAGGTGACTTTTTGGAAAACTGGCCCTCCGTATCAGACTTCCCTCTCTTGCATAGGAAAAACATACTGATGAATGCCCTACAATATAAGCACAAAACAGAATCCTTATGTAGTTTATTTTCTTCCATTCTCCATAAAAGATAGATTAAAAAATAGGTAGTAATACATTTATTTGCATTATCTCATTAAAGAAATTATGGTCTCTGAGCAGGATTTTTTCTGGGGATTAATGGCCAGTAGGGGTTAGATCTGCACCTGATGATCACCATTGACCCCATCTGGTCAATAATCCTTGCTAATCCACTTTTATTGGCCAGAGAGCCTGCTTGGCCTATGGTTAGTACAGTACATAGGAGCTGCAGCTTCACTGCTGTTTGGAGAAAATTAAATGTGGGTTGCAGCTGAAAGGAAAGGACAGATTCAGGCCCAGATCCAGCTGTGTGCTCCCACTAGCAGTCCTTCCTCAGTCAGATGGGTTGGAGACACGATTGGACCAATGGCTTCATGGCACATGGGCGATGCTTCATGCTGGGAGCACAACCCAGGAGCTAGACTGTGCTCAGGGCACAGCAGCAGCTCTTCAGCCTTTTGGTATAGCATGCAGGAGCTTGGCATCCTCTGCCCCAGCAATCCTGACACACAGGGTTCTCAGTTCACCTGAATGACTGCGATACACTGCCTCCAAAGAAAGAGCTTCCAGCAGTGGCCAGGTCAGTGCATGAACAGAGGGCTGTGCGAGCCTCCGCTGGGATCTGCTCTGCACGTGCAGGCAGTGTCAGTGCCCAAGCATGTGGATCAATTTCTTCCTGCTGTAGCAATGATCTCTCTGCTGCTCGGGGAAAATGTATCCTGTAGCTTTCTTTGAGTTACTCAATCTTTTTTTTAGACTGAGTAACTCAAACCAATTACTTTTTTTCCCAAATGATGAGTTAAACATTCTCAAACACATCTGACTGTTTTTCATTGCATCCCTTTAGATCTATGCCCAACTGCTCTGTAGGTTTATCTCTGCTTTGTGCAATGCAGCTGTTCTTTGTGGGATCATGGCTGTGCTCACTGCTGTATCTTTACCAGCAATTTGTCTTTTCCAGCATTGCTTCCTGATGACTTGAGAACCCTTCTGGAGGAGGCGAAGGGAATGAAGTGGCCCTTTGTGCCAGAGAAATGGCAATACAAGCAAGATCTGGGCCCAGAGGACAAAACCAACCTACAGGATACGATTGGTGCCAGGCTCCCCGATCTACTGGTACGAAGCTCAGCACAGCTATTGTGGGAAGCATGGGATGCTTGGGGCAGGAAGGTTTCCTCCTCTGAGAAGGTGTGGAGTTTCTTGTTTCTTTAGCTTGAGTGCTTGCTTTGCCCATTCATCTTGCTCACTTCTGTTTCCAACAAGATGTGTGTTTGCCTATTACCTGAAGATCTGGCACTGTAATAAAGCCAAAATGCTTTTCTAGTGATTTTCCAGAAAATTGCTTGACTGGGACCTGAGCTGGCCAAAGCCAAGGCAAGCAAGTTAAGCATGTAATGGTCTTCCATGTGCATAAGAGGCACCAGTCTGAGTGAGGAGCTGCAGGATCCAGGAGGTGCTGAGGGATCCCAAAGCGTACTGTGCATATTTTATCTATCTTTAAGATCAGAAAGCAGGAAGGAATTCCCATGGCTTCTTGCTTTCTGATTTATCTGAGTTACATGTTGCTTGCCCAAGGGGCAAACTTCTCCCAGCAGAGCCTGAGCGAGGCCTGCAGGTGTTGCCTGGGGAGGATGATGGCTTTGGGCAGTGATGAGGAGCTCCAGGAAGCTAAGGGCTGTGCCCACTGCACATCCCTTCGCCAGCACCGTGGGTCCCAGGGATCCCAAATGTGCCGGGGGGTGGTGCTGCTCCCTGGGCATTTATTTTCTTTCTTTGGTGTGTGTGGCCTCCGACAGAAATTTATGGCTGAGGTTGACCTCCTTTACAATCCCTGTTCAGAACTCCGGCTTCGCAGCGTTTGTCTGCTCTCTCCCAGGACAAACACCTGCAGTAAGCTCCCGGAGAGACCTGGATAGATGGGAGATTAATGCGGCGGTAATAGAGGGGCAGTGTTCTCAGCATTATGCCTTCTCCCCAGGTAGATGGGTCCTTTCTGAGATGATACCAATTATTTATTGCTGAAACATCTGTTGATAACTGCAGCTGCCCTTGTTAAACAAAGCATATCATGGGGTCATAGACCATAGGGACCTAAAATCCCACCGCATGCTCGTTTCAGACTATTCACCAACACCCCCTGAAGTCCATTGGTAACCGTCGGCTTCAATGCTTCGTCGTGTGGTTGAAAATACTTTGTAAACATTGTGCTGCCTTTCCCTGTGTGCTTTGAAGTATTATTTCATCTTCGCTGGTAATTTATATTCCAGTGCTATTGTACCATGGGAAAAAGGGAAAACCTTTTTTGTTTTCCATTTAATTGTAGAAAGACTGACATTTTGACCTGTATTATTAGTATTAGTCGGGAAAAGGGATTTTTTTCCCCCTTCATTCATTCCTCCCCCCCCCCCTTTTTTTTTTTTTTAAATAAAATTTCAAGGCAGAGCAAAGGCTGCTTCAGTTCTTTGAATAAAAAGCTGGGAGGGAAATGAAGCTGAAGAGAAGTGATTACAGTGTGATGAGGAAAGATAAAAGTCTGAGCAACTTTCTTCTTCTTTTTTTTTTGGCACGAGGGACAGAAAGATAATGCAAGTCCCCAAAGGAAAAAAATATTTAAGTCTTTGCCAATTTAATGTTCATCAAAACCTTAAAAAAAAATTCATCTCTGTTTATTTTAATTTGCTATGCTCAGAATAAGCTCATAAACCGTAATTCATTACATTTAAAAAGCACTTTGAGATCCCTGAATGAAAGGCGCTTCATTACCATAACACACTGCGCGGTGTGGAGCTCTGGCTGCCTGCGCCCCGACTGGCCGTTCTACGCTGCGCGTCACGTCGGCTGAAAGGCTCCATGAGACCAGTGCAGGGAGTAAGCGGATTAGGCTTTGGCTTCAAGGGTTTGCCTTAGTGCTACACTTTAAAAAGTGGGATGCCCGATGCTGGTGGCTGTGTGCTCGTCTGATGCACCAAGAAAGCAAAGCCACCCACACCTGCATCCTTTTAGAGAGCTTTTCTTTAACTCTGCTGTGGGATCACAGTAAACAAACAGGGGTAACTTCTCTAAAAAAGAATACCTGCTGCAGGGTAAAGGATGAGGCTGCGCTTCCAAAAGGGAGAGTTGCAAGTGTTGCCCTTCCTGCAGATCACCCATATATGGAGACATGGAAATACCCTTGTGCTCAGTGACCAGCCAACAGAGGGCAACATGCCCAAGAGCGCATAGGCTTTGATCCTGCAAACCCTACTGAGGGCTTCATTGGAAGACAACTCTACATGCAAGTAGATCTCTTTTGGGATTATTCATGAAATGTTTGGTTGTATTTTCTTATACAATTAGAGCCCGTGTTCAAACCCCTTGTAATGATGTGTTGAGTCACAGCCTGAACCACTGATTGGTCACCTGAGGCAAAGACTGAGTCAGACATGGGAGCACAGGTGAAGGCAATTCACCTGTGTGACTGGAAGGATTGGAGCCTGGCTGCAACTCTCCTAGAACCCCATTTAAGGGCTGACTGGCACTGGGGAAGGATCTCTTTCTGGAGATCCCTCCTTTCGAAGTTTTCTACTGTGTGCCTAGGATATGGGTGAGCGTATCATTTTTGATTGTCCTTTTCCACCATGATAATCTTTCTAACTATAAACATGTAAACTACTATCCTAACCCTGCCACTTTTCTAACTGTACTATGTGGATCATCACTTTTACCACGCACAGCAGTAGTTCCTGCATCCGGATTCAGGCATTCAGTCATGAGCCAGGACCTACTGCAATAAGAATAGTGCAAGAGCCAAAAAAAAAAAACAAAAACAAGCTTCAGCTTCAAAGATTTCATTTGCTTGTGCAATTACACTAAGGACAATCATTCTCAGTTTGTTTTTAAATGCGCTATTGAAATAACCTTCAGGTTAAAGGTGTCTGTCAGGTTGCATGTGTTCCCAAGACTCTCCAAGAGCAGGTTTACTCCAAGCAGCTGTGTGGGAGGCTGTGCAGGCTGATCTCCACTCTAGTTGGAGGAGTGCAGATCCTGGCCCTGGTCGTACAGAATCTCCTCTAGTAGTTAACGTGGCTGTGGAAAAGAATAAGAAGAATAAGTCCCTGTAGCCTTTGCCTGGGCCCTACCTAATTATGTGCTGCTGGATTATCATTAGGATAATCATTCTGGGGGAAGTGCCCCGATACCCTTAGGGATGTGTGTGGATCTTGAGAGCTGCAGCCTTTGAAAAACAGCTGAAGAGGGAGCTGAGGATTTAGTTTACTCCTCCCCATACCTGCTGGTGTGGTAACAGGAGAACCAAAGCCCTTAGGATCTTGGTCATTCTGGTTTGACCTTTCGCTATCTGCCTCTTAAGAGCTCTTCTTTGGTGATCTGTGTGAAGTAGGGAATGACTGAGCCCAGAGCTGTGGCTGCGGGCTGATCTCAGCTCATGAAGGGCTTGGTGGCATCCTGTCCCCTTATGCTGCTCAAACCCTGTCACTTTGGAGCTTTTTGAGTGAGAAGTATCAGAAATCAGGCCCTGTCAATGTGGGACAATGGCCAGCATCCCATGTGTCACTCATACTGCCCAGCCAAAGCAGCAGCTTCAGTGGAAGAGCTTCAGCACAGCTGTGCAGTTGGCCAGCCCTGTCCCACTGCCATGCAGTGCTGCAAAGCACTCATCTTCTACTGCATGTATGGAAAAACTGCAGCAGGATTTGCAAGGGCAGTGCTAGGAGAAAAACATGAGCTGTGGTCCTGGGTACCAATAGGGCTATTTGTTTGCTTTGTGCATCAGCAGCATTTACTGTTCTCAGATGATGCTTCATGGAGCCTTTCGTCCCTGGACAAGGTTTTGAGTTGTCTTAATGGGGTCACTGTGATATTTATTTTATTTTTCTCTCTCCCCTCCTCCAGCTGCTTCTCAAATGGATTTTTACTTTGAGGACAGATTTAGGAAAGAGACTTTTGGAGACTCTTGGATCTGTATATGATAATAAGGGTACTGATGCTGCCCTATCAGGAAGGGTTTCTCGTAGGCACTTAGCTATTTTGAAGTATAAACATATCCCCTTTAATGCAGTGTTTTAATGTAACACAAGGAAACACCAATAGGCTTTTAACTGAAGACTGAGCACAGCAAGGGCAAATCGGTGCCACAAAGTTCCTGTTACACTTACAGTTAGTAGTCAGCAAAATCTTTCTGCTCCAGGGGTCCCTCAAATCCCTGCTGTCAGAAAGAGAAGGCCCACAGGAACTCCTGCTCAGGAAGTTTCCTCAGTGCTTTAAAGGCTTTTCTTCTGTTCTTGCCCCAAAACGCTTCTCCTGAGAATGTTCAAGTCCATCATGGCAGTGTCTCCTGACCCACTGGCAAGCGTTTTCCCACTGACCCCTCAGTCTGCAAGCACATCTAGAGCAGGGGTCGTGCCTTCTCTTCATGTTGTGGTGAGGTATGTGTCCTTCTCCATCCTGCAGAGGATTTGGGACATGGTGCAGCCAGGTGAACGCTCCTGGGTCTGCTCTGCTGGAGCAAGTTACAGTGGAAGAGGCAGTGCACTCAAGAGCAGGAGCTGGGAACAGAATGGAGGAACATGCCCCACTGCCCCTATAGTTTCTCACTTCACGAAGGATGATGAGGCAGCTTGTCAAAACTGTTCCATTCTGCAGTGTTTTGAGTTGCTAATAATTGACCTAATGCTAGGCTCATTGAATAAACACCCAACTCTCCACCGCCTTCAGGGTAAAGAATATGAGCTAATTGAGAGCTTCAGTCACTCAAGCCATTGAATTGGATCCTCTGCTGCTCTGAGCAGAGAAGAAAGTATCCAGGAACCTCTCGTTCCTTCCTCTGCAACTATTTACTGCACAACTCACCCATTCTGTGTTCAGGCTTATCCATCTGCGCATCATGGCCATGCTTTCTCCTGCCAGTCACAGAGGTGGTAGGAGGCTTAATTCATTGTTATTTGCAGAGTGTGCTCTGATTGCCAGCTGAAAGGCTGAGATTGATAGAGAAGTCCCGTGCAGTGACAGCGGCTTTGGTCTCTTGGAAATGCAGGCTTTGCTAACAGTGCGTGGGGTAAAAGGGTGAGACTTCAGCCAAATCCATTGCTGTTTTGACTGTGTGTTTAATCTGACAGGGTACGAATGTAGGGGGAGAAAGAGACAGGCAATTTGTTAGGGTTCAGTGAAATGCTAACTGGCAGTAGATTTTGAGGGAGAACCTGGCACCTGGAAATGCCTACTCTGTGCACATAGCTTGAGGGTTTTTTTGTGACTACTCTTGGATTTTAGAGTTTAAAACCTCAGCCTTGATTACAAATAAAGACTAAAATAGGGTGAGGTGAATGACCATAGGCAAATGCAGGAGTCCAGAGTGCCTGAAAAACTGTGTGTGCACTTCAAAAATGATTTCAATCCTTGATGCTGCAGGGATGTTTCTGCAATGGGGACCCTTCTGCACCTGCAGGCTGCGTGGGGAATTGCCTGTGGGACTGTCGCCTTATAAAGAGGGCAGAGAGAGTGGATTAAATCAATATTTCATTTATTTGGGCTTGTAATTCCTCTTACATCAGCTGCCACATAAGATCTCTGCAACTCCCTTCCCCTCCTCCCCACCCTCATTTACTATGCACCAATAATTTCCCTTTGACGCGATGCTGCCAGCTCCCGTGCCAGATGGCCCCGGTTCTGAGCTGCTCCCTCTCGGGAGCAGCCCCATTGTCAATGCAGAGGAGGCATCACGGCTTTGAACCCAACACTGGGACCCAAACTTCGGCCCCGGCGTGAGGAGGAGTTAACCCACTAATGCAGGAAACCATGCACACAGCACACCCTCCCACTCATCGCCATTAAGGACAAGCCCTTCACTGAAGGCTGTTTTGCATTTTCCCCCACAGTCTGTGTATAGAAATCTCGTGCAAATTTAATTCTGTCACCACCTGATTCCACTTCCCAGGCGTGAGGTTCCCTTTGTGTCCTAAACTCAATTAGACATATGCATTGGGCATCACAGACACAGATGTTAAAACAAAGTGTGCACGTACCCCACTCTTTCTTTTTCTGTTTTCCCCCTTCCATCTCGATGTGGATGCAGTGAGAAAGACAGCGAGTAAACCTGTTTATCGCGTTTGTCCCGTCTGAAGAGAAACATGCCCGCAAGTGAGAGCCGAGCTGGGCTGAGGAATTCCTGAGTGGTGCCATTTGGCAGTGGGTGAAAGGCGTGGGTATGGATTTCTGGGTGTGCTGCAGGGAGCATCATTGCAAAGCTTGACACCGAACCGTGTCCTTGTGTGCCACACAGCGTGCGGCCCGGCCTTTCAGGAAAGAGGAGCTGAGTCTCTCCCCCTGGCTTGACTTTTCTACATTTTGTGTCCATTTGGTTTTGGAGAGGGACACAAGAGGTTTCGGCATTGAGCGAGGAGTTAAATTATGCAGCTGCAAGACTGCCAAGCCCTTCAGAATAGGATGCTTCGTTTAGATTTTCCACAATGCTATTGAAGTGCTTATTTTCCTCCTGAAGAGACACAAACAGATGCAAACTTCTGTAAACACTTTAGAAATGAATTCAGTGAGTTTGGCCTCTCAGCAGTGCTCAATAGCTGACAGAAAAATGTCTAATTAGTGCAAGTGGAAATAATAGGGCCACTTGGATTCCTTCCATCCTCCTCCAAGTCTACTTTTCCTAGGGACTCAAAGGCCCTTTTGTTTGGTAGGTCACCCTCTCTCAGGCTTTTGTGCTCCAATCTATTAAAGGAAGAAGGGGAGGAAAAAAAATAGATTAGGCGATGCTCTGTGCTTAAATATATGGCCTGTTCATGAGCATTTCAAATGGATAGTTTGCAGTGTCAGTTTACAGGTGCTTAGAGAGGGGGATTCCTCCATTGTTGACCAGCACAAGCTGGCTGTACGTGCAGAGCTCCAGGAATCCTTTTCAAGTGCCATCCTCTTAGAAAATCCAACTCAAGCTCAGAAAAAAAAAAAAAGAAAAAAAAAAAGGAAATTTGCACAAATCTGCCTCACTGTGCAGAGGCAAGTGAAGTGCAAACAAGCCAGAAAACACTTGAAGCAGATTGATGCTGCAGCCCACCATTCACACCATAATCACAAGCTCTCCGGATGGACTGATATGGGCTTTCCCCACACCTTAGAGGGCTCTGTTCATTAGAAACAAGTGTTACTCAGGCTGCTGCCATTCCTGCCCTCAATCACTTGATGATTAAGCTGCTAAAATCAAGAATGAGTCTTGCTGTCAGGAGGTGGTTCTCTGAACTGAAAGAAGGGAGCAGAAGTCTAGACAGAGTGGAGGCAGTGAGGAGGCTCAAGAAGCCCAGTGGTGACTGGAGTGATCAACAGCATCTCTGACATGGTGCTCTTGGGCCTGTGTGTCTACACAAGGAAGAAGGGAAGGAAACGCATGCTGAAGATAAAAACTGAAGACAGTTGTCCAACTGAGTGTTTTAGTGGGGATTTTCACAAAGCCTTCTTGACAATCGTCCTCTCATGATGCAGTGGGGCCCGAGCCACTGTGTTGCTTAAACTTTGCTATTAGCAGATTTACAGGCTGACAGGAATGCTATGAGAAACAGATTCTTTTTATGAGGAGATTTTGTATAGTTGAAGGTGTTTCCTGCTTTATTCTCTTGCAATTTCTCCCATATCACGACATGGTACTTGAGCACTGCCAGCACCCTGGCACTGGAGCCAAGTGGGATTCCAGGAGGCAAGGCTCTGATGGCCACTGCCATGAAGTCCAGGCAAGCCACGACTGTGCCTAGCACCCCTGAGACTCCATGGCCAAAGAGATGGGTCCTTTGTTACAGCTGATTGCTGAGTTTTGAAAGTAATATGCTATCTACCACAGAAAGTGGTATTTGGTAGCCATCAATGTGCCGTTTGCATCCTCAAAGAGGCCACATGGTGGTTTCATTGGGGTCCTGTCCTCTTAACAGCATGCTGCCTGAGGAGCTCTGTACGATTCCTCATGTCAGTGTGATGACTGCTGGAATACAGAAAGAGTTCTTGCAATTACAGAAGTTATTAAAGGTAATCTGCAAGGGGAAAGCATTGCCTGCCCTGTTTGTTTGTATGTGGTGTACAAAGAAATTTTAATCCTCCATTCAAACTTAAAGCTACACTGATGCTGGTTGTTTATAGCCAGGGTCTGGTTCCACAGATAGCCACATGGTCCCTAAGTGTCCCCCATTTCCTAGGGGACTTCTAAGGAAAAAGAGGAAAAGAAAAGCTGACAGTCATATTCTTGAAAATGTAGTACTCAGACAGAAGGCAGTCCCATCTGAGACAAATGCTTTAGTGACCATTTCCAGTCTCCCCAGACTCCCTTTAAAACTAATTGTTATTACCGTTATTAATCTGTTGGATATAATTTAAATTCATTAACAGACTAACAAATTATATGGCTCCAAATACTGAACACCAATTACAAAGACAAAAAAAAAAAACAAAAAACAAACAAACAAAAAAACCCCACACCAAATGTTCAATTAAAAACAAAAAACCAGAGTCTTTCAATCTTAAGAATGAAAATATGGCCAGAATTAGTCAAATTATAGCTTATAGTAAATACCTAATCAATGCTACACAGACTTACCCCGTTTTGTAAATGCCTAGGAAGACAGAGGTTATGAGTAGAAATTTTGAGGCAGCCTTTTAATTGCTAGTTTTTGCTTCTCGTATTGTTTGGTAATTCTACTTGCTTATGAATCTGTGCAGTTGCCTTACAACAAATGACTAAGGAAATTCAACCTGTCTTTAAATGGTATGTAGCAGCCCTTTTAGGAGAAGTATTGCTAAAGCTGAGTATTTTCTATAAACAGTTGGCAGAGTCTTTGCTCCATGGATTTCTTCGAGGTAGCCCATGGCACTGGTGTTCTTTTCAGGTTTATTTGAAAGCTTCCATCATGGTCAAGGATTGTGTGACAGCAGCTGCTATTGTGTTCTTGATTGACCGGTTCCTGTACTGGATTGATGCCTCAAGCAAACTCCTGAAGATCGCCAAGGGCTTGCACAAGCTGCAGCCCACCACACCAATTGGTCCTCAGGTGGTCATCCGCCAGGCTCGCCTTGCTGTCAATGCAGGTACCAGCTCCCGGGCAGCCACTGCTCCATTTTCTCAGCTCAGACCCAATTAGGAGCTACTTGACTTTGAAGAAGATACTTTGTCCCTTTCTGGGGATGACATGCTTATGATCCTGGTGCCATCTTTTCAAACACGCAGCCCGCTCCCGGCCCCCTTGGGCCCTCCCAGCTCCTCTCAGTAGCACAAAGGGGCTGGTATAAAGGGCTTCAGAGCCAAAAGCAGTAGAGAAAATTGTGAAAGGGTGTGGAAAATACTAATTGGAGCTTTTGTTCCTTAACAAATATTCCCCGCTGGTTTCAAACAGGGATATCTGAATTGCTATACTTCTGACTGAGGGCCTTTAAAAAGTAAATTAGAGTCCTGGCATTTTCTCTGCACTGTCCCAGCTGCTTTTTTTTTTCTTTTTTTTTTTCTTCCAGTGGGACCACTTGACTATGCAAACAATGCAGCTTACCCCCTCTAAGATAAATTGATTGATTTATTAATTTTTTAGATGTCCATCGTTCCTATAACATGGGCAACACCTGAAGGGTATTTTATATATCATCTTTCTATTGCAAAGATATATTCCTACTTCTTCTGAGGGAACAAGATAGATCCAGAAAAACCTGCTTTGAAAAAGACAATTAAGGAATATTTTATTTGCAGAAAATAGTCAGGACCATTAACCATAACCATTTGTTGCATAACCATTTGTTGCTGACACAGCCTGATCTATGGGCTAGTTCAGCCAGCATTCATCTTTCTTCACTGGCTGGAGCAGTGAATGAATTAATTTGGATAACTGTGACAAAAAGCAAGGTGCAACATCAGTGTTGATCATATTAGACTTTCAGACGTTTCTTGTAGCCCATCAAGCTGCTTCAGATGACTCTGCTATGCAACACAGCCTCTGAACCATATGACAGGTGGCTGAAATGCAGAATGCAGAGTACCAACCTTCTGTTGAACACTGCATTCTTTTTTGCTCAGATTTTGGCTATATCTTGTGATCATAGGGTGCTTCTTAAAAGCAGGTAGACTTGAGTCTATCTGGAGTCATGGTCCAACAATGCTAATCTTGTGTGAGCAGCTAGATTGACTCTTAAACCAACATACAGCCTTAACATCTCTCCTGAAAGAAAGTAAAGAGTTTTTTAGAAGTAGATGTGTAGCTAGAAACATTTGTTTCACCAGCACTTACTTGCAAAATTTTTGGTGTATGCAGAATAGCCTGTGTCACAGTGATTCCTGAGCACGAGGCAGCATTTAGCAGTACACAATTAACTGGGAAGTTTAGGCTGATTGTGAATACAATTTCAGCACTGAGGAGTACAGTTTGCTGGGGCTTTCACTAGCGAATATTTTTGTTCATAACACAATGTATGTTTTTATGTTTTAACACTTTCTTAATGTTTTGATTTGTTTTTAATTAGGTAAACTTCTAAAAGCTGAATACATCCTCAGCAGCCTTATTAATGACAATGGAGCAACAGGTAAACGTATTTATTTTCCAATTTCATAATTACTATTTTGGTGGGACTATATGTATATATTTTTTGTACCAATTTTAATGGTCACAAGAATTTCAAATGCAGCCAATCTGACATCAGTCTCTTCTCACCACCATTCCTTTGCTGTCCCTTTGTTGTCACTCTACTACAGTATGGAAACTCAATGGACACAATGATCTCCAGCGGTCCCTTCCAAACCCTATGATTGTTTCATTCTGTGAACTGAGACTTTGTTTTGAAACTTCCACAGTCCATCTTTGTATGTCTCCACTTGGGAGGAAAAATATTATGGATTGTCAGCCTTACTACTAATTTCTCTGTAAAACATGGACCAATTTCAAGAAATTTACTGATCTAAAAGGCAAGGAAAACCTACACCCCCAAGAAAACAAACCAGGCTGAGTAATGCTTATGGTCTTATTCACACTGATTTTGTGAATGAAATTATATAACCCAGACCTGTAACAGGTAGCGGTGCGTTCATTTACCATATTTTGGAATGAAGGAAAAGAGAGTGAATCCTGCATCTTGCAGCACTTCATTCCACGTCTGGACAGACGCAAACTATAAGAATGGGAATATTCTTTAATATGTGGTGGTACTTTCAGAAGCTACTTTTTTTTCCCTTCCTGTCAAATGACCATACCACTGGTAGCATGACTTGTTTCAGATCTGCAGGGGCATGTACTATTTATAATGATAAAAATTCACAAATTTGGATGGGCATCCAAAATGACAATTTAATAATGGTTTTGAGACAATATATTTAAGATTTTTAGACTTGTTAGCTAACTTTTAGTCTTCAGAGTGTATTTAGTTGCTATATTCATGTTTCACAACAGCTATGAAAATAAAAAATTTAGCAAGCCTATTCTGGTTTTTGTTGTTTTGTTTCTAATGCCAAACTGAGATTCTCATACGAGTGGTCCTCATTCAACAGAGCCTTAAAAAAAAAACCTCATATCACTGTTAAAGTGGTGATTTCATTTTGTATTATAATCAGGTATCAAAATAGGTTTGATAATGAAAGACTTTGTGTAACTAGTAATTCTGTTTTAATGTGAAAACCTTGGGCTTGATCTTTGCAATGCTCTGATATCTGAAAAGAATTTTTTCTTTGCGAGTGTTGAAAGTATTTTGTTCTACTGCATATGTCAGTGATGACAAAAATATGCAATGTAAATCCTTTTGCTTTTTATTACAACTAAGTATGTTTTACATACAGTGATTTTTTGTTACTTCAAAGAAGAGAGGTACCTTTCGCATTTTATGTAGTTCTTATACTCTGTACAGCTGTCACTTAAGCCACATGCTGTCTGCTTATATTCCTTATTGCACTATCCCTTTGTCATCTCTCTGGCTGTAAGATCTGAGTCAAACCGGATGGATTCAATGGAAAGATTCCTCGCAGTTTGCTGGGGTTTAGGTTGTCCTCAGAGGCTGAAAATGGCAGCAGCATTATTCATTCTCTATTGAAATTTTCAATTCTTTCCCAGGTACCTGGCAGTATGCTAAGGAAAGTGATAGGATCCTTGTTCAGTCAGTCTGCTTACAAATCAGAGGACAGATTCTGCAAAAGCTGGGTAAGGTTTGTTTTTTTTCTTTTTTCTATAAGTATCTATTCAAGGTTATTCACTATTCTAAATAATGCATTTGTTGTATGTCATAATTTTAGCTTATGTGAAACATCTGCCTGGTGTCTGTAATGCAGTCACAGAAGATGAGGTATAGACACATCTATTGGAATAAGCAGGGACCTAGAACCATGTACCAAGCAGGCACATATTAGGAATTATCATTTTATTATTAACGTAGCCAGAAGCTACAGAACATCCTGAAATATCATTCCATTTTTCTTCTGATGCTTTTACCAAGTTCACTGTTCCTGAAGGCATGCTACAGTTTAACAGAGATCTATCACAGCGCTTTCCTCAAAAAAGAAGAAGATCCCTATTCAAGAAGATCCCTAGCATTTAGCATGATGGACTTCTGTATCCAGGACTTGGTACTTGAGGCCATCAGCTTTAATTTTATGCCCTTGCTGTGACCCTTTATCTTCAGTGACTGTTGAATTGAAGTCTTTCATGAACATACAATGTGTGTCCATATACAGTCAAAAGCTAGAGGAAACTAAAAAAACGTTCACTGTCACCAAAGCAAAAAATGCTTTCAATGAGGAAATATTGTTGGTAGGTGGGTGGTTAGATTAGATGATACTGGGGGGTCTTTTCCAACCATGGGGATTCTATGGTTCTATGGATTTAGACTGTTTTGGGGATTCTATGATTCTATGGATTTATACTGTTTTGAGGGCTTCTGTCTCTAGGAAGTATAAAATCCACCTAGCATGTTGAAAGCTACCTGAAAGAAGTACTGTGTTTAGTAATTGTTTTCTGTTTTATTCCAGGGATGTGGTATGAGGCAGCGGAGTTAATTTGGGCTTCAATTGTGGGATATTTCAAACTTCCTCAAGCAGATAAAAAAGTAAGATCTCCTTTTCACTCTGGATAATCTTGCTAACCTAATAGTGATTCCAGATTAGCATCTGGTTACTTCAGTCATGTCTTTTTAAAAGTGTTTCAATTATGCATCTCAGATACCATTAACACTCAGGGCAAATATTCTAACTGAAGTATTGCACATCATTTATGCATGCACGCACAGGCTTGTGGACACCTTTTTTCCTGCAGGGGAATGAAAACAATCATTTTCATTAAGCAGGATCATCTGAAGTGAACCATCACCTAGTATGTCACAGCTGCTTCTGAAAAGGACTCACTAATCCCAGAATGCAGCCACAGATTTTTGTGGTTTTTTTGTAGGACTACCGCTAAATTTATTTAGCCAGTAACTGAGCTGTTTGCTGGAGGGTTCATAAGCTGCCCTATGCTAGCAGTTGTGGGTGATGGATATCCTCTGGCCCTGTGGTACCTAAACACTTTGCAACAACTAGCATATCTGTCTTCAACAACTTTGTGAGGCATGGTCACACTAATCTTCCCACTGCCAATGAAGCAGCAGTCACACCAAGTGCCCGTAGCTAAATAGGAATGTGAACATAAGTCTTGTGAGTCCTGGGGTGATGCTTTAAAAATTTTTGTAATTGTACTCCAGTAAAGTGTATACGACAAAAACAGACCTCATCACCTCTCCCATATCTCCACTGTCACAAACAGCACCTAGGAAAAATAGCTAAGGAAAATGCAGTGTTGTTCAAATTTCTGTTGAAACTCAGAACTAGTAGCAATTAGGATAGCTACCACTTAAGGAAACTCCTAAGTATACACTAGGCTGCACTTTCTGCAAGTTCAAATTGATAAAACCTTACCACCCTGAGATGACCACTCTGACTTACTTAGCAGTGCTTCCCTTTGGAACTTTTTTGTTTTGTTTTGTGTGTTTTTCCTGTCGTACATACAACCTAACTTACTGCAATCAACAATTCATGGCATAGGGGAAAAACCCTACCATTACTTTCCATTTCTTTTTTCAGGGAATTGCAACTTCCTTGGGTATTCTGGCAGATATATTTTCTTCCATGAATGAGAAGGATTATGTACGTTTTAAAACCAATGCAGCAATTAACCTGGTAAGACTTCTGGTTTGTTTTTTGTTAGTGCAGATTCTTCAGACAAATTATATGTCATTGTCTCAAATTCAACCATATTTTTTTCATCCTCCAGTTTCTCATCTTTGCTGAGAGGGCTAAAGCAAATTCCATTGTTCCCATTGGAAATGTTTATTAGCACCTAGATAGAAAATTGCCTAGATCCGAGAAAAAGAAAACAAGAATAACTATAGAGTGTGTATGTATGTATGTGCGTGTATAGTAGACAGAAGATTTACGGAGCCAAACCCAATAAATCTATGATACACTTAAGTAAAAAGTCTTCTTCAGAAATATAAGTGGTTGTTGTGTCAGATTTTGTCCTGCTCTAAGATTCAAATCTATCAGAAATCTACAAATCCCATTGGATTCTGATGGGTAAATCTCAAGCTGCCTCCCTCCAATCAGGTAGGGTTGCCTCTCAGATAAATCCTTCTCTTTGAAAAGACAGCTGTTAAGATGGAGCTTCTCCCGTTTTTTTTTTGTTGTTGTTGTTGTTTGTTTGTTTCATCAGACCCTTCTCCAGGAGTCCAGCCATCGCTTGCTATCAGCTGCTGAAGCGTGCAAATTAGCAGCAGTATACAGCCAGTATACCCCACTGTTTGTGCTCACAGCTGTGGTGAGTATTAGTCCACGTTCTGGAAGAGTTATGCATGTAAGAGAAGAGTCTAGGCTATTAAATTTGGCTTTAATATAGCTTCCAAGCTTCATACCATAGAGTAGGCTCCTATCTGCTTTGCAGATGCTATATATTACACTGGACTTTAATTTGAAGCTAAGCAGATGGGAAGAAAGCAATATCTATCCATTGAGTAAAGATGGGCTTTCAAGACCAACTGGGAGTGCTGCTTCTCCTTTAACTCCAAATATATTTCAAAGGTGAAAAAGCAAGATTGTTTCCTCATGGAAACACAGCAGCAAGCAGTTAGAGCCACTATTTGCTTTCAGTTGTAAGAAGGAGAGAAAGATATTTTTTCCTCTCATTTATTTGTGACAGAGATACAGGTTTTTAATTCCTAGACTCCTCTTTTTTTCCTCCCAGAACATCCGTGGAGTGTGTTTGCTGTCCTATAGTCACTCCAAGGACTGCCCCCCAGAAAGGAGGAAGTTTTACTTGTCTGAAGCCAAAGAATCCTTTGAGATCGGCCTCCTCACCAAGAATGATAGCAGTCATGTCACCAGCAAGCAGGAGCTCCACAGTTTTATTAAAGCTGCTTTCTGCCTCACAACAGTGCATCGATGGCTCTATGGGGAGAGTGAGAAACTCTGTGAGGTTGATCAACTTTGTAGAGAAGCCATAGCAAAACTGCATACGTACAGCACTTCATTTACAGAAGAGGAAGAGGAAGAGAAAGGAGTCCTTGCGGAAGAGATCATGTCTCTGATCACATCTGTTAAGAAGCTCCTACAAGTGGAAACCTTTCGTAATTCTGATGCCAGGTCTTATGTGCCAGACAGCTATAAAGGGGCAGTGAAAAAACCTGTTCTGCAAGGGGAAGCCAACTTTGAGAAAATCCTTGCCATGAATTCTCAGCACCATCTCTCAGTGTGTGAAGTGTTTAAAAATCCTTGCAGAATTAAGGAAAACACACTGGGAGAAACGCATGTGGGAGCTTGTATTACAACTTTAAAAACTGAAACCAAAAATACAGACACCACGTGTACCACTGATGACACAGCATACCAGAGGAAGGGTGCTGGAAAAATGTTTAGTACACCAAAAGTGGAAAGTAGCTCAGAGAAGCTCAGTGGCCAAACAAGAAACAAACAGAGCAGTTCTGATGTAAGAAATATTTCCATTGAAAAAGGGACCGAATCAGTAAAAAGAGTAATAATTGATGAAAACAGTGTTTTCAGCAGATGGCAAAACAGAAGTCAAACCACTTCTTCAGAGAATGCTTGGTGCAAGCTGTCACTATCAAGTTACTCTTCCAGCTGGGAGGAACTGAACTGTAATAGCAACAAAGAGTCACCCAATGGAGGACAGCAACAAGAAAAGGGCTCAGTGGAGGAGCAATGCTGCACAACAGAAACAGATGAAAATGGTCAAGCTGCTTACATGAACTCATTGTCACCCAGAACTCAATATACTTCTCTTAGAGAGCTTCCATATGGTTGTTTGAGGTCACCTCAGCCTTTCTTAGGGGTAGACACAGCCCTAGCTAGAAGGCCTGGGGAGAAGGCTTCTCCTGAGGGAGCAAAGCTGAGGAAGGGAGAGAACTCTTCGGAAGGGAAAACGGAGACGAATAACACAGACTTAAAGAACAACTCGGTTCCTTCCCTCACCGCTCCTTCTTATCCTGCCAGGATGGAGGAAGAGGAGTGTTCTTCCTCCTCCTGGGCGGAGCTGGAGCCCTGGGTGATGGCCGCCCGGCCGATGGGCGCAGGCTGCAGCACCACGGACAGCGCCAGGGTGGGCCACCTCCTCTCCGGGGTGGCCGCGCCCCCGCCCCAAAACAGTTGTGTGGGGCGGGACCCGGGGGGAGGAACCGTGGACAGCACGGAGCGCCCCTCGCCCGAGCGCAGTCCTCCCACGAGTAGCGCTGCTGCTGCAGGATCTACAGGCAGCGAGCCAAAGCCAGACGGCAGCTCCTTCGTGAGTGAGTGGCTGAGGAAACCTGCAGCCACAGTCGGACGCAGATCTCTCGAAGTGCTTGAGGTTGACCCCCAAGCAGAAACTGTAGATGACACTGAATTTGATTTCATCAGTACTGGAGAGTTAGTAAACGGTTCTCTCAGAGCGACTGCTCCAGAGCTTCTGGTGGCTCCAGGTGCAGCAACAGGTTTGCCTTTGCGAGGAAACAAATCTGTAACAAAACATTTCGAGTGTGCCAGTACTGAAGAAGAGGAAGAGGAAAAGCCTCAGAGCAACAAAAGACTGTTCAGCTCATCACTGCGTCCATGGCACAGCTCAGATCCGATGCCCGGCAGTTCCCCTGAAAGTCCATTTTTAAGCCTGAGGGGAAGTGGTCTTGTCTTCACACCTGGGAGAACCAAGGAAGAAATCCTTGATGCTCGGATTCTGAGGGATGATGACTACATGCAGCTTCTGGCAGGAGTAGAACACAACTGGCTTGTCCAGAGATTGATGCCTACTGGAATGTTTAAGTCTAAACAGCTTCATAAAGCATACTGTAAGTTTCCTCACAGGAACTGGCATTTTCAAGCAATGCTATTTCCATAGAAAACAGCTTTTACTCAGGCTTTTTAACCTCATAATTTAAGTCACCACTTTCTAGGGTTTTATAAGTTGTTATTCTAAGAAGTTTTGTGCAGCAGTTTTAGCAACAGAAGAACCCCCCCTTGAACCATTTTCTACTTCTTATTCACTTGCACATCACTGGCAGCTTAACAGAGATGGGCTCCATCTCCACGACCACTCAATCCCTCCTGCTTCATCCCTTCATGCAATAGGTATCTCAGGTCACTTGGTGCCTTGTGCCAGTTCATCAAGTCATTTCTCTCCCTTTCCTTACGCCAATTTAGATTCCACATTTCTTCCTGCAAACTATGCATTGAGACCATGATTATTAAGTTAATCATAAATAACAGTTTAATTTATTTGCTGTATCTGAATTTGTAGACTTATTGAAACACAGAAGTTAGGAGCAGCATCTCTGTAGCTCATTAAGTAAAACCTGCTGGGGGCTCATCCTATCATGTTTCAAATCTGCTTAGCGACTTTGTGTCCTTGATGTAGACCTAGCTACATCTTAGCATATATTTGTTTGCCTGGAACTTTGCCTGGATATCTTGTCTCCTCTATGATGAGATATCATCCCTCAGCACAGGTTTACAGAAGTCTTGAATTGTTCAGTCTACCTGCAGTGTTTTCTTTTTGTAGCTGCTCTTCTTTTGAAATACTCAAAGAAATCAGGCCTCTGGACAGGCCAGGAAACATCTGTATTCATTGGGGACTACCTGAACGTGGCAAAAGAAGGCAAACAGAGAAATGCATTTTGGATACACTTCCTGCACCAAGAAGAAAGCTTGGGAAGGTACTGATCAAACCAATTTCTGAAAGAAAAATTTTCAGTGCTATTCTGTGTAATCATGAATGAAAACTCTGGTAAGACTCATCTCACACCTGTGATTCAGCTAGTACACTGCTTTGTCTGTAATTTTTGTAAGGTATTTTCAGAAGATAGAAAGAGTTTTCACTTGGACAAGTGCAGAAATTACAGTCACAAAGGGAGATTTTTTTCTTTATTCTGTTCCAATTTAGTTTACACTGAGTTAGCCTTTGACTGATTCACTTTAGCAAGAATGCTTCATTGCCTTTTTAAATCTATTGAGCACTTTGCAATCTTCACTATGCTAATTCTTCTCATCATTCCATCTAACTCTCTAATTTTGAATTTTTGGAAAGAAAAGGCTACTTTACTGTTGTCTTCTAACAACCATGTTATTGTCCGTTTGCTCATGACAACTCTTAGACTACCTTTATCCATGCTGAAACAAACTCAAGTGAGCTTAAATGAGCTTAAGGGTCACTTTATTTGGCTTCTAGATTTGCTTTAGGGAATTCCTACTTCTGCTATTCCCTAGCACCCTAACAAAACATACTTAATTTGAGATTAACTTGATTTAAGATAATTTTACCCAAAACAGTAAGTAAGTAATTAAGCTAGCATAGATTCCAGGTTCTGCTATTTCATAAAACAAGCTCTCCTAATCCTATTCATGGGTAGGCAATACAACATTTTATGTTGCTGAAGAGGGTGCAAGCACAGAGTCGTATTAGTGCTTCAGACACACATCAGTTTGCTCACCTTCACCTTCCTGTGAAGACACCAGCATTTGTTCCATTCATAGGCCAAGAAATACAGCCTCATACCTGCTCCCATCTGAAAGAAGGAAAGCTTAATATGGTGCAGAGCCTGAGTCAGTAAGAAGTTACCCTAGCTAACAGACAGGTGCAGTACCAAGTACGCAGCTCCCAGCCTAGAACTGCTTGACACCGAGATCTTTCTTAGCACAGAGTGAAGAAGCAACAAAAGCTACAGGCAGAGAACTTCTTCAGTTGTTTAAGTTTAGCAGTGGGTGCATGCAATGGATGCATTTGTTCTGAAAGCTGAGTTAAAATCACCTATTTGCTTCAATTAGGCCTCAACATGAGGAGAGCTCTACCTGCTGCTAATCACAGACTGTAGATTATTATTAGAAGTAGCTTAAGAATTCTTATGTGTAAAGAGCAGTATTTTAAAGCTTGACTTCAAATCTTTCCTTAATATGAAACCCTCGTCTTAGGATCAGGTTAATCCTTACAGTATTTTACTGTAGGAGATGGAAAAAAGCTCATACCTTTAATCACTGTAATTTTAGATGTATCACCATCACCAACTGGCTGCCACACTCTGCTTTGTGATGATGTTTGTGTACCACAAGTAGGGCTTCCTGAGTGCAGTCTGCTGCAAAACTAACTACAGCAAAGATTTTTCTGCTTGCTTAGGTATGTTGGGAAAGAATATAAAGAAGAGAAGGGGCTTCTTCATCATTTCAGTGATGTGGAACGACAAATGACTGCCCAATACTACGTGACAGAATTCAACAAAAGGCTGTACGAGCAAAAGGTCCCTACCCAAATCTTTTATATCCCGTCTGCAGTACTTCTGGTAAGAGCTATCTTCAAAACAGTGCCAGGGAATTGATGGGAAAAGAGTCGTAAGTCATTTTGGTTGGTTGGTTTTTGCTTTTTGTTTTTTGTTTGTTTAAATAGTTAGGCCACCTGTAGATGACATACTCTAATTCACATGATATTACCTGGTAGATGCACCTGATCTTTTCAAGGCAGAAGATACTTATGCACAGAGGTGCAAGTTCAAAAAAATGCTGGTTAAAAAAAAAAAAAAGATGCTATGTCCTGGTGGAAACCAGAAATTCACTTCTGTATGAAGCTCTAGAGTCATTCAGTCTTTTAGATCATTCTAGCAGTATACCAGCATCTGCAGGGTGCAGAGCTGAATTCACAGTTTCATTATTACTATGTATATGATAGCATGATATGCATGTTACTATTTCTGCTAGATATTCTGGCACTAGATCTGGCTTTATGCCACTTGCTAGTAAGGCTTAATGACAACCTGGAGTCAGTATTTATGCTAGTCTCTGCACAGAGAAATTACTGGGGGCAAGAAAAACCAAAAACACACAAAAAACCCACCATTGTTTATTTGCATGTTGAAGGAGGACCAAGAGGAGCAGAGTTATCCAAATCTTTTCAGCTTTAGACACAGTCTTCTGAAAGAAGTTCCCCATTTGCTGGACAAGCTAGATATTTGTAGAATTTGTTGCCCAGTTTGGCCCGCTAGGTTGGCTTTGTGTTGGTTCTGGTGACACCACTGTTCTTGATAAATATAAGTTCTGGAAAGCCTGTGTTTTAAATTAGCAGTGGATTAATATGGGGACTCTTTCCATCTTATGATAGAAAGTTCTAGCAGGAAAAAAAACGACAGAAATTAAGTTAGAGGATCTTTAGTGTCCTTGTTTTTACATCTCTGCTTGGGTGAGTGTCACTGAAACTCTTTTCAGATTCTGGAAGACAGGACAATAAAAGGATGTGTGAGTGTGGAGCCCTATATCCTTGGGGAGTTTGTGAAGCTGTCCAATAACACGAAGGTAGTAAAGAATGAGTACAAAGCCACAGAGTATGGTCTGGCCTACGGCCATTTCTCCTACGAGTTCTCCAATGGAACGGAAGTTGTTGTTGACCTGCAAGGTTTGTATTGCACTGAGCTTCATTCATTGCATGTCCCCTCATGTTGCAGAATATGCTTTACAGGGACATACCTTCTCTAAACGACCTAAAGTGAGAGAGGTATGTGTAGGTGCTTTTTTACCTTGAGCAGTGTTCTTGCTGTCTGCTGTGTCACAGTAGGAGCACGAAAGCTACAGTGCCCTAGTGTGCCACAGCTTCGTGCAGCCGATTAAGGTGAAGCCAATCTGCAAGGACATGCCTGAGGAAAGCATCTAAAGGAGAATCACTAAAAGAGACAGTGGATCTTCCTGAGCTTCCTCCTTCTCATAATCAGCAAGCCTAAAAAATTATCTATTCAGCTAATGAAGAGCTGAGCTCTTTGCTTGAAAGCCCAGGATATGACATTCAAAATTCAACCTTTAGTGCACTCAGATATGTCTAGGATGCTCATATACAATTTAAATATCCATTATGTATCTCCTAGAGTTTTATTCTGCTTTTACTGACGTAGGTGTAAACTGAGAATCACTGAAATGCTGTTATCAGAGGATTTGCTGTGCCAAGCAGCCAGTACTGAGTGTGATGGTGCAAAGGCTGTACTGTTCATTACCAAAACATATCCCTCTTTTGCAGGCTGGGTAACAGGTAATGGAAAAGGTCTCATTTACCTCACAGACCCACAGATTCATTCTCTTAATAGCAAAGACGTTTCACGCTCTAACTTTGGGAAGAGAGGAATTTATTATTTCTTCAACAATCAACATGTGGAATGCAATGAAATCTGCCACTGCCTTTCTTTAACGAGACCCTCAGTAGAGACACCAATGTAGACTCACAGAAGACAGCCAAAGAGAGTATGGCCCATAAGCTGAATGGTACGGTGGTATTTATCATACACACATTTAGGAACGTGTCGTCTTGGTGAGAACAGGGCCTCTGAGATGACATCTGTGTAAGCACCTGCAACAGTTTGGGATATGTAGAGTAACACCAGGTCGTACCATGTTACCATCTTGAGTACCATCTGAAACATGTGCTCTTACAACCATCTGTGAGACTTAACAGAAGAACATAAGAGAAAGAAGAAAACAGCCTCCAAAATTCAGCGGAAATGTACTACAAGACTGTACAAACCTCCAATGCATCTACAGACTCAGGGCAACAGGCACCATCTGCTCTTTGGAAAGAGTACAAAATGGAGTGAGACAGAGACTTGCGTTTCAGCCATCCGTAAAATTCACAGGAAGTTGTATAAATGCTTCAAGGAACAAATGGCAATGTTTGGGGCTGATTAAAAAATAAAAATGCAATTTATCTCAGAGGAGTGTTGGAACACTATAATGCAGTGAAAAGTGTAGCAGTGGCTCAATTGCTCTTTCAAGGCCTCACTCAGCATTTCTGTTAGAAGTGTGTTCATGGGTGTGACCATGAAGTATTTAAATAGATGCAAGTAGTGTTTTAACTGCAACAGCTGAGAAAACTGCTGTTCTTCAAGAAAAAAAACCGTACAAACAAAAAAAAAACCTCACAACATTGATACTCCATACATGAATAATTTCAGCCTGCTACATCTAGCAAACTCTCAGCAGAGTTTCCCAAAGGTAGAACAGTTCTCACCTGAGGACAGTACCTCTTTTTGTCTGTGAGCACCATAAGTTTTATGATTCTGTAATGAATTCCCACAGCTAACAGCCCCCGCCAAGACCTGATCCTCTCACCTCGCTCCACTCATGCAGCCAAAGGCTAAACCTTTACCTGCACAAAGAGGATTTCTCTTGATGATTCTGCCCATGCAGGGGTCAAACAGCTGCAACTCAGACTACGGCCTTCAACTTAAACACTGCAGCTGAATTTCTGTTATTGTTCATGGCTGTAACATAGCATTGTACCCAGAGAGACCCAGATATTTAAGGCCAGCACTGGCCAGCCTGCCGCATGCATACCGGCCATGTGCTCCAACAGTGTGTGCTGGGTTAGAGGCACATGGTACGTCTCAGAAGCACATGCTGGGAAGCAGACCCCTTCCAGACTTGTGAATGCTGGCTGTGCAGCTGAAATCCCACTTCTTTTTCCCACGCAAGCTGGTAAGCTGAGTCCAACTCAGTGGCACCATCAGATAATGCATGCACATGATGTCACGGTGCCTCCCGATTTTATGGGCCTTTCTTAGCTGAGAAAACACCCAGAGGAGAGGGAGCAGGAGCTCATGACACCATGTGCTGCCCCCAAGTTAAGCAGGCTGGAGCTTTTGGTTGAGGGATAAAGAAAATAAAGTCATTTTCCAAAGCAGGAGGCCAAAAGCTGCTCTGTGAAAGCCCAAGAAAAGGTGTGTGTGTATCCCCCTTGGAATAACAGGGCTGGAGATAGCACCTGCAGCTGCTCAGCAACCTGCCTCTAGGCAAAAACAAGCATGACGATACCTTGGGTTTACTCTTCCAAGACCACGCCAACACGCCCAGTGTGTGTGCACAGTCATCCATGTGCTACAGGGGTCCCCATCAGACAATTGGTGAGCAGCCTTCCTGCATGCGGTGCTGAAAGCTGCCCTCACTGATGTGCTCCCCTTCTCACTGAGCCTCGAGGGTCTCTGCCCTGGGATCACCCCTCCTGGGGGATTTGTGTGAAGAGAAAGGGAACACATCATTAAACTCCCACAGAAAGATGGGTCCCAGCACCACAGCGTTAGCTTTAACAAATCCATCAGCTTTTGTTTCTGCAACCGGCAGAGATTTTTAGGCTTTTGTTGTCGCTTTATAGCAATGCCATTGTTTTCGAGGGGATGTTTGCGCCGAGTTGTTTGGAAAGATGCCCTATCACTGCGCTGAACAATTAGAGCTAGGTGTAAAGAGGGAGAAGCAAGGGAAAAAAAAATTAAATCTCTTTATTATGGTGCATAAACCTTCAGTGCTGGGGAGCTGGGCAGCTGCAAGGGAAGAAAAATGCATTCAAAAATATAATGCTAGTGTGAATAATCCTTTCTCGAATGCTGCTTGCAGACTGCTCCAGCTTTGTCAGGTGAACTTGAACTGGGCCATCAGATTTGCTGCCGTTCCCATTGCACACTGTCTATCACCCCGGGGCATTCACCATCTTGACTGTTGTTAAAAGGGAGCAAAACAATCCATCATTGAGCCCGGGAGTCACTCGCTCATAGAAAAGTAAAATCGGCATGTGACGGTACACTCAGCCCCAGTGTCTCGCAGATTAAAGTGATACATGGAAGTTCACGTGTTACCGGGAAGATTAAGCCAGTTATCTTGTTCTGCAGCCAATAAAGGGCTGCCTTGTCTGCGGTGGGGGGTGTGCTGCCTTTAACCAAGTGACAGAAACCATGCAAACATAGCTTCATGCTACCACAAAAAAAGGACTCCGGATTGCCACGGAGAAACAAAAGTGGTCAGAGAGACTTTGGGAATGAATCGGTGGCAGAAATGTTGTGTTAAAGTCTTTTCCTTCTCTGCAGAGGTGATTAGGAGCAAAAGAAACCCTCCCAAACAATCCCTGCAGAACAAAGTGTCCGCATGCACTGCCCACAGGCAGCCCCACAACCCCGAGAAGCAGCGCCTTTTTCCAGTCTGCTGCTTGCTTGACCAAAAAAAATGTATTTAGATACGCTTTTGGATGAATGCATACATGGGGAATTTTAATATTTGGAATACTTCCCAACATAGTAGTATTAGCATTTAGCAGCTGGTTTCTTTTGTTGTTTGATGTAAGACACTTTCCCATCCCAGCTAAATTTACGGCTACTGACAGATTTCTGAATGAGCAGCTTGAAAAAGTTGGCGTTGAGCGTCAGCTTGCCCTGTTCCCAGCAGCACTAGCACTGCAGTGCTTGGCCTGGTTGCTCTGTTAGTCCCCAGCACAGGTCAGTACTCTTCACCCTTTGGGTGAGAGCTTAGAGCTTCCAACCAGCAACATCTCTGTTTCACTATTTCCTCTGCTTTCCAAAGAAAGCCATTTGGACCAGCCAACCAACATTCTTGTTTTTTGAGACATTCAGACTTTGTTATTAAGTAAGTTGCTTTATAGGGTGGATTTGTTATCACTAAGGATCATTAAGGACAAGTTCTGTGGTCTCTGCAGAATGAGAGAAGCTCATTGGAGAGGAACAGTGAAATATCCTTGCCAGCAGCAGGACGTAAGGCCTGAAGGGCCGTCCACGCCTCCAGTGAAAGCAGCAGGCCAAACCCAAATATCCCACTGCTGATAGTGCAATGGCCATGTGCTAATGCACTCCTTGTACTTTGGGAAGATAATGGTTCAGGAAGTTCTTCCACCTGCACCTCTGCAGGTCCCCCTGCTGCCACCACTGCCTGCACCACACGTTTGGGAACAGCGACTTCCCCCTGCCCTATTCTCGCTTTTCCTTCTTTCCAACTAGAATTTCATCCCAGTACGTAACAACAAAATCAAGCTTCCAAGACAGCAAGTGCTAACGACCCAGCTGCTGCTGGATGCTGCTGAGCATCCCCCCTCCTAGCAGGATGGGGCACCTGGGGCTGTGCACCCAGCACCCCGCTTCCTATTTTGCTTCCCGGGATGCCACCACCAGCACCTACAGGTGCATGGGGGCCTTCTGAGGCCGGAGCTGCTGTGCCGGGCAGGGGAAGCACGAGCTGCCTCCAGCGCAGCTCAGGCCATCACATTAATAGGGGTTGATTTGCAAACGGCGTCGCTCCCCCTGGCCCCCCTCTGCCCGACTCCCGCTTCTCCGCTCAATGGCACAGATGCTGCTTTGTGCTGCCCAGGACCAAGCGGCTATTAGCAGCAAATCCAGCGAGGGAAATTAATGAAGGCGACTACTAATAAAAGGCAGCTCAGGACAGCCGTACCAACTTGCTCCAAGCAGTAATTAACTTTTTTAAAACTCGCGAAGGTAAATATGCCATCGGCTTTGGTCCGGTCGCTCTCCCTTTCAATAAAAGCAGGGGGAGGGAGGATGCTGGGGAGGCCACCGACACCGTCCTGCTGCCGGTCCCACTGCTCAGAACTGAGAGCCCGTTTTCCTCAGAGCAGCTTTTCAGGCACCGCAGCAGCGTGCTGAGCTCGGCACAAGTGGTGAGCGAGAGCACTGCTGGGAGCTGCCGGCTGCCAGAGCAGCCTGGGACCAGAGCGGCTTTCCCCATGCACACACACAAACACCCTTTCATGGATAAACCTGTCCTACACATATTTTGCAGTGTGCTACCCTTAAAAGTGCCCTTTCATTTCTCTAAGTTACATCCGTATCTTCACACGGAAATAAAAGATGTCCCAGTTTAATAGCCCCAATAATTGTCCCTTTCAGTTTGTCATAGAATCATAGGCTCATAGAATGGCATGGGTGGGAGGGGACCTCAGATCCCATTAAGTTCCAACCCCCTGCCATGGGCTGGTTGCCCACCACCAGCCCAGGCTGTCCAGAGGTCCTGAGCGCCTTCATGGATGGGGAACCCACAGCTTCTTTGGGCAGCTGTGCCAGCACCTCACCGCCTTCCGAGTACAGAATTTCTTCCTAACATTTAGCCGAAATCTCCCCTCTTTTAGTTTAAAGTCATTCCCCCTTGTCATATCATGATCATGTGAAGGTCAACCCTTCTTCTATTTGTAAGCTCTCTTCAAGTGCTGGAAACCCTTTAAGTACTGGAAAGCCTTCTCTTCTCCAAGCTGAACAAGCCCAACTCCCTCAGCCTTTCTTCACAGGAAAGGCGCTCCAGTTCTCTGATCATCTTTGTGGCCCTCCTCCAATTAAAAATTGCTACGCAAGAGCTAACGTATCTAGTGCTAAAAACCAGCCAGTGTATGCTTAATTACTCAGTGTACTGTACATTTAATTAACAAAGCCATCAGAGCACACCATGGGATGCCCCTCAGTAGGTGAACCCTCACCTGCCGCTCCCCAACCCAACAGCACTGCTTCTCTGCCATCATAAAACCAAAGTATCTCTGTGGCAATGAAATCATCACAAGATTAGCCCCAACAAAAGGAAACATACAGCCTGGGTGTGCATCCCACAGGTGTGGGAGGGAGGAGAAGGGCCACAAGGCCAGGCTGCAGGGCACAGGTGGTGTGCTGTGAGTCCATGTAAGGTGACAGCAGAACCATGGCACGAGCCTGGGCGTGGGGACAGACCTCCATACACCTTCTGGGAGACTCCCAGCCATGGGGTTCATACCGTGGACAGAGAGCAGCCCCCTGGCAGCAGGATAAGCCAGGCCCCCGCTCCCAGCCCACATCAATGGGGACAAACCATTACAGGGGGTCCTTGCCAGCACCCCCAGGCTGCCCTGCTGGAAGGCCGCCTCCTGTCCCATCCCTTCTGGCCCACAGCAGGTCTGGGGACACAGCTCTGTGCCCTGGCCACATCAAAGCGCTGATTATGCAAATGTGCCCACTTTTCTTTTTTTTTTTCCTCCAGGAATTATTTATCACACAATAACTCCCCTGCCAGGGGGGGAAACAATAGCAGGGGCTGATAGCCGCGCTCGCCCGAGGCTGCGGGGCAGGGGGTGCGTTTTATTGGGCTAACCTAATTTCACTAATTCTCTTTTCACACGTTGGGCCTTTTTTTTCCCTTTTTCCCCCTTCGGGGATGTTGCTCTCAAGGCTGGGTTTCACGCTCCCAGGGCCCATGTTATTGAATTAACGCGTTTGGGAGCCTTCACTGGTTCCTAATGATTTCCAGGTGTTTGTGCCCAGAAGCCACCCGGCCACTGCTGGGTGCGTACGATGGTGCTGAAAGGCCTGTGAGCACACCAGACGTACCCAGGTCTCATCTGGGATCCAGGAATCGATGTGGAGGGGGGAGGGTGCCCAGCACCGAGAGGAGCTGATGGAGTGGGTAGGGACGGGAGAAATGAGGCAGGGAGATGGGCTCTGTGCAGCAGCCTTGGTAGGGTGCCAAAGTGCTACTCCGTTACCCAAAATCCATGTTGGACGTTAGGAAAAATTTCTTCTCTGAGGTGCTGGAATGGGCTGCCCAGGGAGGTGGTGGAGTCACCGTGCCGGTAGGTGTTCAAGAGCCATGCGGATGTGGCACTGAGGGACATGGGCACAGCGGGGACGGAGTGATGGATGAGATGATCTGAGAGGTCATTTCCAACCTTAATGACTCTGAAATGCCTTACATGGGACACCGCATTCCCCCTGCAGCCAGCTCTAGCAGGATCTCTGCACTGGGCGACGAGGTAATATGTCCCACACCCATTTCCCCCAGAATCTGCTCACCCAAAGAGCAATCACCTCATTCTCCTGGGGCTACATAGTTCATCCTTCTGCTTTATTTCTAAAGAAGCAAAACAGCATCTCAGCAACAGAAAGGCACATCAACCTCCTGGAAGACACTCCAGCTCTGGTGTTTCCAAGTGCCACAAGAGCACAACTGAACCACCCACACCGTATTGCCTGCGTGGCATTGGTGCTCACCCCCACCACAGCCCCCAGGCCAAGCTGCAGTGGGGCCGAGGACATTTGTCACCCCAACAGATGGCGCGTAAGCCATGAAAAAGAGCAACCCAAGTGATGAAAATTATGAAAATTAGATATTTTATTTATATTTTATGAGGAGAACAATCCCTTTGCTCTTCAGCCGTAAATACATACTAGAATAGACTCTGTAAATTATACAAAAAAAATACATCTTTTCCATGAAATCTTTCTTTATAATAAATAAATGTGAACACGTGTGTGGCAGATCGCTGTAATGTCCCGTGTCTGTTTGGGTTTTCAGTCCGTTGATTTATTTTTAATCTCCTGAAAGAAGGGGGGAGTTCCTCGTCCCCTAAAGGTCGAAATAAATAATGCATGAGGCGCTCCTCCCTCCCACCCACCCCTTCCCTTCCCTCTACAGTTTTTCCTTTTGATAGAGAGTTCAGCCTAAATTTCCACGCTTGCATTCAGCCCTGACAAAGCCTACAAATTATACAATGACTTCTAACCTGGACCCCTAACAACACAACTTTTTTTTTTTTTCTTTTTTTTTTTTTTTTTTTTTTCTTTTTTTTTTCTCCGCTCCCCCCTCGTAAATCACGGAGACAGCTGCGGAGCGGCGAGGGGCAGAGCCGGGCAAAGTGCACGTCGGAGGAGCGAGGGCCGCCCGGGCCGCATTAGAGGCAGCGGTGGGGCGGCGGCGGAGGGGCGAAGCGGCCCCGCGGGGGCGGCCAGTGCTCGGCGTCCGAGGCGGAGCCGGCGGGGCTGCCGGGCGATAAAGTGCAGGCGTAGGGCGAGGCGGAGGGCGCGGGGCTGGCGCCGCCGCTCCACGACGAGGCGGGCGACGGGCTGCCCTCGGCGGCCGCCCCCGGCGCGTTCTCGGCGGCTCCCCCCAGGCGGGCGGCCCCGGCCAGGCGCAGCGTCTCGGTGAGCGCCCAGATGTAGTTGTGGGCGAAGCGCAGCGTCTCGATCTTGGTGAGCTTGGCGTCCTCGGGGAAGGTGGGCAGCACGTCGCGCAGCGCGTCCAGCGCCGCGTTCAGGTTGTGCATGCGGTTGCGCTCGCGGTTGTTGGCCTTCAGCCGCCGGCTCCGCTTGATGCGCTGCGCCGTCTCCGCCGTGCGCGCTGCCCGCGGAGGCCCCCGCTGCCTCCCCGCCCGCCGCGCGCCCTCCTGCAGCCGCCGCGGCCGCCCGTCCTCCTCGTCCTCCTCCTCCTCGCCGGCGCTGGACGGCAGCGAGGCCGAGGGGGCGGGCGAGGCGAGGCGCAGCAGCAGCAGCTCGTCGTCCGTCGCGGGCGCCGGGCTCTCCGCCTTCACCGGCATCCTGCGGGGGCGGGGGAGAGGGGGGCGCGGCCGCGGGTCGACGGCCGTCGGGCGGTCGGGGGGCGCTGGCACGCGCCCCGGCGGCGTCGGAGCGGCCCGGGGCCCGGCGGCTGCGTGTCTGGCACACGACCCCGCTAACGCCCCTTATATACCCCGCGGGGAACAATCAAACCTGCCCCGCCGGCGGCCCCCCCGCTCCCCGGCCCCTCCGCCGCGCCATTGGTGCCTCGCGCTCGGCTGGAGCGTGCCGCTAATTTATTAATGAATGGCGAGGGGGGGGGGGGGCGCGAGGCGCCGGCGGCCAATCGGGGCGCCCCGCGAGCCACGCGCGCCGAAGCCGGCTCCCTTTCAGCGCTGCATTCAGCGGCCGCGGGCGGGGGGCTGCCCCGCTGGGGGGCCCCGCGCGTCCCCACGGGGGTAGCGGGGCCGGGGCGGGGCGGGGCGGGCGGCGCTCGGGGGACGCCGTGCCCCTAAAGCCGTGAGGCGGCTCCGCCGTTTGGACCCTCGGCTGCCCGCTCCTACCGGCTCGACGCCGCAGTTGTCAGTGCGGCGAGGAACATCAAGCCAGCCTCGTGCCCGGCTTCCTGACCGGGGCCGGCGGGATGCAGTGGCTTCGGGTAAAAATATGAGGTTGTAAAATAGAGCTTGCGTTGCAACTGGTGGGAAGAGCCCCGAAGTGGAGGCTTGGATCAGCGTGACAGAGTGGAGATGTACGTGGGTAACCCATGGTGCACAATACATGCACACACAAGTGGTAGAATCACAGGATCGTTGGCATGGGTTGGAAGGGACCAGCCCAAAAAGACCCAGCTCAGCCCCACTCCCTGCTACCGGCAGGTTGCCCCCACCAGCTTGGGCTGCCCAGGCCCCATCCAGCCTGGCCTTGGGCATCTCAAGGGATGGGGCATCCACGATCTTCTGTGGGCAGCCTGTGCTAGGGCCTCACCACCCTTGGAGTAAAGAGTTTCCTCCTAACAGCTGACCTAAATCTCCCCTCTTTTAGTTTAAAGCCATTCCCTCCTAGTGCACTTGCCTGTCCCCAGCCTCGTTTTTGCTGCTTTGCTGCTGCACAGTTGTATGCCCTGCTACCCCATGGCACATTTAGCCCATCTATTGCAAAATGTCTGCAACTCTGCCAAGTGACTTGGACACATTTCCCCCTTCTGAGAAACAGGAGATCCCTATGTGTAAGGAGCGCAGCATGGAGCCGCAGCAGCAGCCCGCGCTCCCGCAGCAGGACGGAGGCTCAGCGCTGTGTGGGGCAAGGGCCGGGCAGGGCCGGGGTGAGGGCCTGAACTGTCCCCTGGGGTCAAACTGTTCAACTTCAGCCCCTTTGCCAGACTCGATCCTACTTTACGGGAACAAAGGGGTGAAGTAGGCGACGATCAAGAAATGGGAGCACAATGATTTAAGCTTATCACACGGCCCAGAAATAAAGGATGCTGAGCTGGTGTGCGGGAGAGGGGGAGACCTTCAGAAGGGCTTTGTTTGCAGTAAGAAGATTGAACTCGGAGGCGACCCGAGAGCCCTAAAAGTTTAGGGTCTGTGTTGCTGAGAGACCTTTGGACGCGGCCCATCCATGCTCCGACCTCACAAGTTGCGAGTGAGTGCCTGTGCCGGCCCCGTGGCCCAGCAGGGTGGGGGCAGCAGGCTCTGGGCTCCCAGAGCTCCAGAGGGTCGGTGGGACGGAGCCCCCGAGCAGCTAATGGCAGGGCGCGCAGCCCTTAACCTGGGGGTCAAAACACAGCCCCTTCCCAGAGGGCGGATGAGGGGCGCTCGGCAGGGGGGCAGCCCCTGGCACGCCGCAGCCAGAAGCACTGCTGGGAGGGAAGGGCAGGCCCCCAAATTTGGGGTTCCTTTGGGATCAGCCCCCCTGGGCAGTGCTGCCCAGGCATCCAGGCCCAGCCCCCCTTGCGGACGAGCCCCCCGTTCGGGCTGATTGTTCCCGGTGGATTTGCATGGCAGGTGCAGGCTCCGGAGTGATTTTGCGATGCGGAGCCCCGCTGCCCCCCCACCCCTTCCCCAGGATTTGCCTCCCCCACCTCCCCCCTGTGAAAAAGGGCCGCCGGTGCCTTCCTTTCCCATGAAGAAGAAGAAGCTTGAGGATCGCGTGAACACGCTTCAGTTTTCTTATTCTTTTCTATAGATGTGGGGAAAAGAACAGCCGATTGTGTGAAAAACCCAGTGCCTGCAAAAAGGGACATTGGCCATCCAGGCGAAGGTGCGCGAGGGAGAGCACTAATCGCTGAACCAGGAGACAAATACGATTACCAGCTCCGAGCCTTGAGTCAGAAAGTCTCATAGACTTTAAGATGTTAATCCCCGACATAATCCTTCCTTTGGCGTGTAGGAATAGTGCAGCCACAAGAGTTGTTTTGTTATTTATATTGGCGTTTAATAAAACTCAGCCAGCGGTGAATGGGCTGCCCACTCTCCAATGGTAATTAATTCCCTATTTCAGTGACCCAATTGTGCTGGGATAGAGCAGTGGGACAGTCCCACTGCCCCAACCCGCCTTTGTGCAGCTACACAGCTCTCGTGCTTCAACAGCTATGGAAACTCATTCTTTTGATGTCATTCAATGAGTTTTCCTTGGGCATCTTCTAAACTTCAAGGACCCTTTTCTTTCTCCAACGCATGAAAAGCAGGACTAGCTTGACCACCTCTGTAGAATTTAATGATTTGGTGAAAGGGCCTTTTTGGGGGTTTGTGTAAGGAAAAAGAGAAAGAAAATTTGGCAGGCTGCTATCAAACGGGGCTATCCAACCCGCGGTGCACCGCAGCCATTCAGCTCCCGGCGCACACAGGCAGAGGAGCCGTGCTTGCCTACACACAGCACTACTGTACCTCTCACCCCTGGCAAGCCTGCAGGTTTGTCATGAGAGAGCAGCCTGCACCCTCGGCCCCTAAAACGCCTCGCCTTCAGGAAGGAAGGCACTTTGGTCCTCAAAAGGGAAGAACTGTGAGAGCCCTACAAGGCATCGTGGTGCTGCAGAGCCCGGGGCTGTGTCCGGGCAGCGCGTTGGCCGTGGGGCGGACACAGGAGTGTGTGAAATGGGCACGTGAAGGACATGGCCTGGCCCTGCCCAGCGCGGGCAGCCCCTTCTATGTCTTTATACATGCTCCCAAAAAAACCCCTCCGCAAGTCACAAACAATTCAGAATTCACTAAGAAAACACAGAGTGAACCATATGGCCGGGGTGGCTCGAGTTGGCTGCATTTTCCCCCAGACAAAGAAGGGATTGAGAGTTGAAGGAAAGGAGAAAAAAACCAACTTTCCGGCTGATGAAGCTGTTGTCTGGAGGCAATGATCCCAAATCTCAAGGCTTTATTCCAGGCCCCGACTGAGACGTGATATGTCATATGATTAGCATCTTTCATATTTACAAGAGCAGTGTGGGCTGCCGGGCTTTAGAGAAAGGCGAGAGAAAGAGGGGGCATATGCTGAAATGGATTTAGCATTTGAAAGAGAGAAAAGAGATCGGATAAATACACTTAAACGAGGATTTAGTTTTACTCCCGTTGCGTCCTAATGGATTGTTGATTGAGATTTTAGGGAGCGAGAGCCGAGGTGTCAGCAGCGCTGCACGGCGCAACGCGGGCCGCTCCCGGCGGCGGGCGGCGCCACCTGGCGGCCTGGCGGGGCTGCGCCGAGCCGGGTGGGGCTGTTGAATTGCGAGGATTGAATAAACCGAAGGCACGCCATTTTCTTTGAGAAAAACGATGTTGCGTTGGGCCTTTTTACCGTTAGAGCCATGCGCTTGGCTTTGAATGATTTGTAAATACGCAAAGTGACACTTGCTTTTACAACAGGTTTGATACGCATGCAGCCTAAAGAACAACAAAACACTAATAATGCAATTAGGTACTTCATAGGCATAGTTATTAAATAATTCATACTAATATTAATAATAGAATGAAAGGGATTTCAGATGCCTTGCAGTTCCTATATTCTTTAGTTTTAGTCATTCAAACAAGGGGCTGCCAAAACAGAAGAATTAAACAGATGCAAATAAGATTTCCCCACGCTAAACATTAAATTTTACATTCACATTTTTATAGACATTAGGTCATTTCTATAGACACACCATTCATATATTGTCAAAATAAAATGCACACATTTTATTTTTCCTTTTTCTTACTCTGTTCCTCTTCCTTCTTTTCCTCCAAGTAGTACTTCAGAATGTCATTCAGCTGCTGCTCACACTGGCTTACATGTTGCAATCCGTTTTCTTGCCCTGAAAGCAATATTCAATAGGATAATTACGTATCACTTCACAGCATCCATCACGTAGTTGCTGTGTGGCAATGAGAACATCTATTTCCCAAAACGTATCAAATGGCTATCATATGTCTACATCATTGTTCTTCACCTACTTGGTTGCCAACTAAGTAGACAGAATAAAATTAGTATTTTGGCACTTCTCTTGTAGTGAATTCTTATCTGGTGTTTCAGAGACTAAAAACTCCTTCTGCAGTATCTGCTAAGGTGGGGCCTCCCTGTGCAAAGAGCAGACGTGTGCCTGCAAAGACACCCCATGGGTGCTGGGGAGTTGGATTCAGACAGCTTATTGAAGACATTTTAGAAACTGGGACTTTCTCTCGCTTCTCTAATTCAATGAGAGTTGATAAGGCAAAAGTTAGGATGAAATGTACTCATGCTTTGAGATATTAAATGATTTTCCAGTTGTCTTCCCCTTGTTTAGCATATACTACTCAGCAATAAAGCTACATTGCTTTACAATGTGTTCCTGCCTAGGTCTGCTGTGTAAAAACCAAATTGGTAAAGCACTAGAAATGCAGTAGCCATCTCCAGATCTCCTTGCCAGAGTACTTTGTCCATCTATCTGATGCCATCAAGAGAAGAAAAAAGAAGTCCCATCACTGGATAACAAAAATACTGAGCATATAAAAGCAGTTTGCTGATAGAACTGCAAACAAGCAACTTTTGTGCTTGTGATCTACTTGCAATAAACAATGGGAGTATATATATATATATATATAATGGGAGTATATATAGGAAATATACTGTATTTTGTGTAGTGTGCTGTATGGGAACTGTTGAGTCAGGGCCTGAACCACTGATTGATCACCTGATGAAAGGACTGAGTCAGCCCTGGGAGCACAGGTGAAGGCAATTCAGCTGTGTGATCAGAAAGCGGTGGAGCCTGGCTGCACCTCTCTTAGACCCCATTTAAGGGCTGACTGGCAGTGGGGAAGGATCTCTTTCTGGAGATCTCCTTTGTGGAGTCTGTCTTGCAAACCTAGATGTTTGGCTACAGGTAAGCATTCCTTCCCTGTTTGTTTCTTTTCCCGTTTTCACCATGATAATCTTTCCAGCTGTAACACCAACTGTAACATATGCATACTATACATTATGAAGGATGTATTCTGTATAGTATGCAGCATATTGTCTAATTTTAAAAGATGAGCTATAGGTTTTTGAAAATAAAGGAAAAGAATGTAATACCTTTGCAGTGATTAATTACTCTTTCATAGAGTCTGTTCTTACTTAAGCAGGCCAGATTCCCAACAATCAGGAGATGCCTCTTTGCCCTTGTCAGTGCAACATTCATTCTCTTTTCTGAGTCTGTGAATCCAGTTTGTCTTGTTCTTACACATGACAGAACAACGATCTCCTTCTCGGCTCCTTGGAATGCATCTACAGTGGACACCTGGACAGCCTTCACTGGAAAAGCCTCGGAATGTACGCTCCTAAGCAAGTTCTGTATCTGTAGACAAATAAATATGGATGTTGATGATTATGCTGCTCCGTCAGTTACTTGTCTTGAGCAAAAGCTACAAGTCTGAGCCTACACAAGATGCAAACTAAGAAACTACGAAGTGCAATGACAATATATCTTCAGCTACCTACAGTAAATACAATGTAATGAGACTGCATTTGATAAAATGCTGGTCTGCTCAGTGTGACAAACTGTGCTTGCATTTAGTAATCACAGCAGCCCATATCATGCTCCGAGTGACTGAGTGAGGGACAACTGCAACCTTGCTATGCAGGTCTCTCCATTATCTGTCCTTGTCATGCATATCAATCTGTAATGGCACCCACATCAAATATTAAAATTATTATTATTAAAATTATTTAATTTTCCAAATTTTCTAAGTGGGCAGGTGTATGGGAGCTATTGAGTCATGGCCTGAACCGCTGATTGATCACCTGGGGAAAGAACCTGTCAGCCATGGGAGCGCAGGTGAAGGCAATTCATGTGTGCGACTGGAAGGAGTGGAGCCTGGCTGCATCTCTCTTAGACCTCATAGAAGGGCTGATTGCCACTGGAGAAGGATCTCTGGCTGGAGATCCCTCTCTGGAGCTTTCCCCCGTGAACCTAGATTTTTGGAGATGGGTGAGCAGTCCTTTTTTCCTTTCCTTATAACACCTTTCTATTGCAATAGTCCTTTTGACATTGTATCTTTTGTATTACCATTTTATCATGTTGTTCTCATTGTTACAGCAGGAAAAAAGGAATGTTTTGGGGTTTTTTTTGTTTTGTTTTTAATAAAAAAACTGAAGGTTGAGTAGAGGAATAAAAGATATCATTTTTTTTTTTTTTAAACAAGAAAGATAAACTAAACTCTAGTTTACTTTTTAGCACTTTTCTTACTTCTTGTTCATTATTCTTCGTTGAAATGGAGCCTTTGTTTAGAACAAACTTACAGATGTTTTTATCAATGGTGTATTGTACAAACCTTGTACATCTGTGATTTGTAAAAAGTAATCACACCCACTGCAGATCCGTGTATTCCACTTGCAATCAGAGACTGGATAAGCTTGACTATAAAATGAACTTCTGCTGTGTTATAAAAGCTGTTGTCGCTTTCAATCTGGAAATAGGGAAGATTTCTAATTCAGCTCTCATGAGTAGCAGTTAAAATACACTTAATTGCACAGTAAGAATGCAAGCAGAATGGAGGAAACCCTACAATATGGCCTTTTTAAATAAAAAAATGTTGGGAAAACTTACTTGCTCCAGCCCGCTAACACTATAAAAACATAGTGTTGGAAGCCAATCCAGTAAAGGACTTCTTTCCTTCTCAGAAATGCCATCTATCAGGTTTCCTTCATAGAACAGCTCATTGGCTATGGCACTAATAGCAGGGTGGCATCGATACTGTGTCCGTAGCAGTATTGTTTTATGTCCCTAAAGGATTATGATGTAAAGAGATGATGTATAATGAAGAAGAAAAATAATTTCTTCCTCTTTTGAAATGCCAACTTGGTCAAACAAAAAATAGAAACAATTCCTGCAAGAAGCAGACTTAATCTTCACACTAATAACAAAAGTTAGAAGAAATGCTGTAGCCTCTAATTCCTCTACATGGATCGAAACCTGAACGTAAAGATCAGGAGAAATAATCTGTCGCTGTTTCTTGTTTTTGTTTTACATTTATTATACAATGTCTGTGCATTGTGCAAATAACATTTACAGAGAAATGCACCAAAATGGAATCTACTTGATTCAGAAGCAGGCTGAAATGCTGATTCTCTGACACCTAAATCAGAAGTCTTAGTGACTTCCGTGGACCTGGAATTTTATCTTCTATCTTTAGAAAAGAGGTGGTTAGCAGTACATACCATTAAGCAAAGCCGATCAAAGAGAGTCTGTTCTAGTCCTTTATCATGAATGCTCTCAGACCCTTGAATAGTTGGTGGCAGTTGCTTAGGATCTCCAACAAGGACTAGCTTTTCACACTGAAACCTAAATAAGAACGTTATTAAAAAAGCCTTTTAAAAAGATTCTAGAGAATGGATGTTAAACTATTTGTAATGAAACTGCAACTCCCTTCATCACTCTTCTTTCCAAAGTTAAAATAACACACTAACACAAGAAAAGCATCTAAAAGCATGCCTCAATTTGTGATTACTCTTCTTAAGGTGAGACCTTAGAGTTTGTGTTCTTAAAAAGAATCACAGTTTGGTGATTTGAGGCCATGTCACTGCTAACTAAAAGTTACTTCTCAGCTGAAATGCAAAAGGATGGTGGTACCTTGCAATAGGGAGGAGAGAAGTAGGTTCAGTCATCTGACTGCACTCATCCAGCACCACTACAGGAAACTGAAGAGTATCCAAGCAAGGGAATGGGCAGGCAGCACAGGTCACTCCGACCACTTTTACCTTTGTCATTAGGAAAGGAAAAATCGATAGAGAAACATTATGATCATTAAGCAGTCTCTATGCAGTACATGACTGTAACTCCGGCAATGGAATACACTTCAATTAATTTTTAGCTATTCTACTACATGCTATGTTACACTCAGTTTCAAAAAATTAAATTCTAACTGCAGGTAAAAGATGGTGTATGCAAAGAGGAGGTTAAGATTTCTCATGTTTGGTGCATTTCTACATTAGAACCATTCACAAATTCCTGGATTTCAAGGCCAGAACAGGTCAGCCACAGAAAGAGTTCAAATTACACAATTCTCCAAAACCTTTTGAGCCCCAGTACCAGAAACAGCAGCACTGATTACTAGGAACAAGCACAAAAAACCCACAGTGCTCAAATCTGCTCTATTAAAATTGCTCTACAACACCCTCAAATCACTTGAGTCTAGAAATGAGGGAAGAGAAGCAAATAACTGAGGATCACAAGGTTTTTCCACAGGAAGTGGTAATTTTAAAATGTAATGTTTTGATGAAAAGTTACTTAAAAATATATTTGAAAAAACATTCTTGGCAGCTGATTCTCAGTTGTAGTTTAACTCAATTTAATTAATTCCTTACCTTTTACCTTTATGACTATATAAATTTTAGTTTTGAAGTAACAGTGCAGATAAGCAACATTCAGTAATTTTTCTCTCCTTGTAAACTGTGGTGATAATGCTGGAACAGACTGCAGTAAATTCAGAATAGGTTTCTCTCTCATAATTTGTCATTAAATAGGAACTGCAAGTACAACTCAAGTCAGAAGCATGTAAGACATTAAGCTATACTGGTAGAATCAAAGGTGTCCTATTCTGAACATTCATTTCAAAACTTGAGGTGCTAGGCAGTCTCTCAGAGCCAGAGAGGATTCCCAGTTTCCATTTGCTGGGCCTTGCAGGTAAGGCATATGAAGATTGCTTTCCCATCCCACCCATTTTGACTGTACCTGTTGCAATGCATTTTTATTGGTCCCCAGTTTATGTCGCTCAATACTCTTTCTTACATACATTTTTTCAGCTGGAGCTAAATCTTCTTTCATGAGAGCAAGAAGTTCTTTTAACTGTTCATTTTCATTTCCTGAGCCTGCATGTAAACTTAAAAGATTTCATAACATGCATTAAAATGACCAAAAATAACATTGTTTTCAGTGTTTAGTTAACACACAGTATACAAAAACTAGTGCAACACAAACGTATTTTACAACAATTTATTAATATATACCAGCTGAGATAAACTAGTAAGATACTTGCTTTAAAACAGACCTTTATCCCACCAGCTCAAACCCACTGCCTTAATCAAAGATGCACAGTAAATGACTCCCCCAAGCTCTTACAGTTGATTTCAGCATGGAGTGCTGAAAGTGCAGAGAAAATTTTCACTCCCGTACTTTTTGTACCTTTGGCCTTCTGTTTATACCACAGAATGGCAATTTTATCTTTTAATTCACCTTGAACTGCACTTAATTCCCTCCATAGTTCTGAAAGTGCAGTGTAGGTCACTGAGTTTTAAATAGTCAAATGACAGACCCCAGGACACTTATGCTGTATGCATTGGAGATGCCTTGTGTAAGAAGTACAGTGTTAACAAGCTGTTACTATTAATTCTCTGAGCATTAAATGTATTGCTTCCTCCTAATCCTTATCACTACAACAATACATATATATCCTGAGTCTTTTTTTTTTTTTGCTTTTCCTCTGTGTAAACTGCCAAATCTCTCACTGTTGTTAATTTGTTCTCTATTGATTTCCATTTAAAAGCATTATTCCTATTCAGTAACAAGCCACGTGCCTAAATCAAGATAAAATTTACCCACTGTGTGGGAGTAGGTGGAGAGAATAAGATAGTCATATTACAGTCTCATTTTGAATGACTTCAAGATAGTGTGCATGCTGTAAAATAACTATCATGAATCATATAATTGGCTCAGATCCCATAAGGGTTAGCATACTTACCTACGGGGAAGAATTGCTTTGGCAATTTTCCTAATACTTCCCACTCTGATGAAATCCTCAAATCCAAGATCAAGTAGACTTCAAAGAATAAGAGATGATACACGTTAGGAAAAGGTAGGCATTAATTTTGAAAAACACAAAAGATTTTTTCTGTGAAATGAAGAATATAAACTTCAACAACTTACCAGACCAAAGTAATGTGAACCACAGACAGATAAACAGAAATCAAACCAAATTACCTCATTGTGATTTGTCTCAAAAAACGCTCAGTTCCTTTATGATTCTCAACTTGTACTCAGTGTTTCTCCCTTTATCTTTCCCACAGTCTTAACCTCTAACATTTTCTTCTCTTGGTATTTGGTGAAGCTTCCCAAGTCTGATCTCCCCCCTGCCACTGTTATTTCCTTAAGCTTCCTGAACATTCCTAATTTCTGTCTTGGGTGGATTCTAATAGTAAATGTGATGATAGTGTGAGATTAGGCTCATATAAAACAGTCCAGCTAGTCTTACATGGTCTCCTAGAATAGGCAGACTGTGCGAAGGAGCAACAGTAAAGTTAAATCCCCAATTGCAGTAATTTATAGGGAAAGAATGCACATATAATCCAAAGTATTATACTGGAAATACTAGCATAATTACCAGTAACATTTATGTGCATTGTTGTCTTTCGAACAACATTTTGTCAAATCTTAATTCACAGTAACCTACCACAGCAGTATCCTGTCAACAGCAACATTAGTGGAAGAAGCAATCAGGAGTTTCCATGGAGCTAGCTCTGGACCCTCCTTAGCTTCACTGCTTTCAAAGAGCTGGACTAGGAACAAGATCACAACAGACAGCAAATAGCTCTTTCCAGCTCCAAAAACACCTGGTATGTTAGAAGAAAAAGCCAAAAGTTCACATGAAGATTTTCTAGAAATGCAGTTTTGATCAACTATTGTAACATAATTTTATCTTGTGATAATATTGCGCTGTAATTCCTGTAAAAAACATTGCTTGCGCTTGCTTCAGTAGCTGAAAGTATCAAGGGGCAACCAGTTGGCTTACACTTTTCTGCACGTGTTGTTTTTATTTATTTGCATGCATCTCTCCTACTATGGCCTCACGTGCCCAATAAAAAAATTGTGGTGATGATGTTTTCTTTCTAATCATTCTAATTAAATTAATGTAGCAATAGCTAAACTACATTTCAAGCAATGGAAATGTAATCCACACGAAGACTGTTATTATTGGCACGCATATATTTTTGCCAGGATCTAAAAACTTATGATAACTCCATCTCAATACTGATTTGAAAAAGTTTTTTAAAAAATTGAATTAAGATGTTACTCATGTATGCATGCTGAAAAGAGATAAAACAAGGATATAAGGAAGTATAGAACAAGGAAAAAAATAACAAAAAGTTTATATAATAATTTAGCAAAGCTTACACATGATGACAAGTATTTTAATATGAAAAAATCAGCAGAAGACAATCCTAACTTTATATAGAAATTTTGCTAGGAAAGATCTCTACACATAAGGTAAAATACTGCAAAAGGCAGGATGCAAATTCAAGGATCAAAAGTTCTGTGCTGACAGATCATATGTTACGATTCTAATGTCAAGGCCCTTACCAGAAGGACCTCGTGCAAGGCATGATTTTTTTAAGGAAATGCGTGTTATAGAAGTGCTGAAAAGGATATTCCATACACAGAGGCAGTTGATTCAATGCATCTTTTTTTATACTACCTTTAACAATAAGTCATTGTTTACCCAGACTTAAGGATTTCTTTTTAAGTCTGTGTAGGACTGTAAATATATGAATACAAAGGCAGCTAGTCTAATGTTTTGTCACTGAGAGAATTTAGGGATATTTCACTAATATTGGTGTTACATATCAACTAGCATTTTTGCAAAGAATAAAACAGCAAATGTTACAATTATTTGCTATATACCATGTATGATTGTGATAGGGAAAATATGATGTTCTTCCACTGATTTCATATTTTCATGTGAGGACATCATCTGAGCTATGTGAATCAGAGATGTAGCTTGATCTGGATTCAGTGAGAACGTTAGGATCATCTTTTCAGCTAGTTGCATTGCCACTTCAGAGCTGACAGAGCCGTACATCTTTTTGCGTACCACGCTCATGGCAGGTGGAATAAATTTTCTTCTGTTGATTCTCCTAGAAGGCTTTTCAGAATCACGATTCCTAACAAAAATGTAACAAACAAAAGCTGTGTTATAATACTGCATGTGTATGAATTGCATCTCATTGTTCTGATGTTCTCTCACCTATGTCAAAATGCTGGTGCATTATAATTAACAATTGACATAGAAGGAAGTTGCTGCCCTCTTCATCTTGATGTGCACCTGGACTGTATATTCCTGCCTCTTATTACTTCTCAAGGGAAGTCTGTATCATACTAAACAGGTTTTTGGGCTTTTATCCCACTTGGTGCGAGGTTAGACTTTCCTGTCTTACTCAAGCCTGACAGAATTAAGAGTGGTAGAATCATGTAGTCAGAGGCAGCAGGGGTTCACATTCACTTGTTTTATACTGTGACTCACAAAATCATATAAAGGTTGGAAAAGACCTCTGTGATCATCTAGTCAAACTCTCCACCTACCACCAATATTGCTGTAGAGGAAATGCTAAGTCATGGTCTGAGCCAGTGATTGGCAGGGCCAACCCAGGGGAGCTCAGGTGCATGCAATGAGCCTGAGTGACTGGAAGGGGTGGAGCCAGGATCCACCCCTTCTCAGAGCTCATTTAAGGGTTGGCAGTGAAAACAGGGGCATCTCTTGCTAAAGATCTCTGCCTACCTGAGGCCTTCTAAAGGTAAGCAGCTCTTTTCCTCCATTTCTGCATCCATGGATGCTGCACTTGTGCTCGTTCTCATTTGCTGCAGCTGAATTTTGCCACCCTGCTGTTATCGTGGTACTTTTCATCCCATTCTGGTGTTACAATTGCCTACTAAACTATGCCCTTAAGTACTACATCTACACATTTTCTTGAACATCTCCAGGGATGGTGACTCCACCACTTCTCTGGAAGTCCACTTTTAATAGAGCAAACTCAATGGCTTTTTTTTCCTGTACTTCTTTACCTATCATTTATTTACATTGGCATTAAACAGTAACTTACATTTTTAGTAGATATGGTATGAGTGGTAATGTAGATGGATTGAAGTATTCTTCCATGTTTCTTAAGGATATAAGCTCACCACTGGCGTTACAAGCTAGCAAGGCGTGAACTGATGCTGAAAAAGGCACAGAAAAACAAAATTAAGAAAAAATGAAATAAGCCAAGCTTTCAAATCAGGTAGAGAAATTAATTAGAAAATGCTGAATTAGTCCTGCTGCATTACTTATGGTCACAAATTAAGTCAGGAGCAAAATCTTGCTAAGGAAAAAATAAACATGGAACTGTGATTTAACAACATTGAGATTGCAAAGCTATATATTAACTCTTCTAGACACTGCCAGCTTATGAGATCCAGTCCTGCACTTCACATGCAGGGAACAAATGAGACCAAACCTCCAACTGCCTTTGAAGTCTACAATTTCATAGCAAGTATGCCCACAAAAACATGTGCCATTCTATTTATTTTTATGAATGTAACTCAGAATAAGAGTTTAATCTTAATGTAGGCTCACTGGAATGTTCCTTGCAGAATCTCTGTCTAATAATTACATAGAAAGCCTAAGCAATATTAATTTGTAGGCTTAAAACATTCAATTAATCTAATTGAGTAGTATGAATAAAGTCTCTAGTGATCAAGCAAACAATTTTCACACTGCATTTCAGCTCCCGAATGGCATTCTTCATCTCTCTTTCCTTGTTTTTTAGTAGTTTTAATAGTTTTGTTCAATAGGAAAAAAAAAATACCTTTTGCATCACCTTTGGCTGCAAATTTGTTGCTCTGTTGCAATCTTTGGCAGACCCACACTGTTTTTCTGTACTTAAAGCCCTTTCCCACTAACCTCACTGTTCACAAAACACTGATATCAAGATATGAAAAAATACCCCAAACAAAAATGTTAAAACCAAAATAGAGAATAGTAGTAACTTATTTGAGAACACTTTGCTAAAAATATCAGTGGTTTATTGAAAACTATCTTGATACTATTATTTTCTGTTTAAAATACAATGATAGTAACGTGAAGTAGAGAGATTTGTTTTTTTTTCTTTAATTTTAAAACTTTTTTTTTTTTCCAGTTATTCCAGATTGCAGTGAAAAATGAACTGAGAGGAACACTGGGATGGCCAAATCACAGACTTAACACTCTTTTTATGTAAGTACAAATGCTGTATAGTGAATTACTTGAGCTTTTTACTTTAGGATGGTAACAACATGTACCTGCCAATACCTACATTCTCACAGCCAAATTGCACTCTCTATATGCCATCTGTATTATCCTCATCTCTTCATAATCCATCCAGAATTTATTACCAATTACTCTGCAGCTTTCAGTGCACTACATATTGTATTCAAATTACATACTAAAAAAAATTACTGTGAATAAAATCATGCACTAGGTTTGAGAAACTCAAATCTCATCCTTCATAGCTAGTCATATTTTTTCCCACAATAGTTGTTTTCCACATTTCTTAATTATTTAGAGTAAAACTTACTATGTGAGTGCCAGTTTGAGGGGTAATAGCCTTTCAGTGGTAGGAGTTCTACTTCATTGTTATGGGTTGGTCCAAAGAAAGCACTACTTGCAATGAAAGTGTCAAGGGGATCAAAATTCAGAGTCTTCGAAACAACCCAAATATCATCTGTGAAAACAATAGAGTTCTCATCAACTTTCAAAAATCCAATCTCTTTTAAACTAAAGGAAGTCAGATAAATAAGTGAAACATCTTCTAGGCTGTACATTAAATGACTGCAAAGTGAGGGATATTTAAGTCCTAAACATATGTTAGTTCAGTTCACAAAAAGGAAATAACTTGAATTATCAATCTGTCAGGTACTCCCTGTCCAAAATTCATTGTAGTGGTAAAGTTCTCTCCTTAATGCACTTCTGACAAATCCTAAGCGTTATTAATTCTGATAGTATTCACAGCAAATCGCTTCAATATACTACAAATCTAGTTATCTACTTGGTTTTCTTCCCTTTCAAAGGCATCAGATTGTGACCTACAGATGTTCAGCTTTGCTAGGCACGTCTGCTGAGACTACTCTAGGCTATACATATTTACCTATAACAAATTTGACTAGCTAATTTTCCATTCACAAGTTTTCCTTTTGCAGAGTTGTAGAATTTTAAACCAGCAAAAACCTGATCTGTTGGAGTAATCTAGAGTCTGGGATAAAGCATTCAATGCCTAATTTCTTTAGTGACATTCTATAGTAAAATGATCAAACTAGGAAAACATGCATATCAATTGTACAAGTACTGAGGCAATCTGGGTCAACTCACGGAATGCCCTCTGGCTCTGTGACATGTCAGAAAGTTAGACAAAATAGGCAACACCTACTGAAACACCAATTCTTACATCAAGTTTTCCTTCGCTGTATTCTACTTGAATTCTGGGGCTTTCTTGAAAATTCAGCTATTTACGGATTTCATACAGTCCAAATCTAAAGAATCTAAATTATATCAACATTTACAAAAGAAACTCAAATGAAACTCCAAAAGGCACAACATGAACATAAATATAGACTATTATTTTGATGCTTAAATTTTTACCTTTGCTATAGAGAGAATAATGCTCCTTACTGCTTAGCTTGAGGTACAGTTTATTTTTGGAGTCCCCATCAGATTCAGCATGCATGTTTTTAAGTTTCTTGAGCTTACTACACCATCGTGTTCGAATTTCATACCCTTTCCTGTTAAATTGTAATTTCCAGAAAAAGCATGTAATCATTTGGTACATTACAGGTTCATTCCATAGAAATAAGACAGTGCCACAGATAGGACCAGACTAAGCAGCGCAGATTTTGGCTGTTCATCTTAGTAAGGCTTAAATAAGTGTATCTTGACCTCTGACGCTCAGCTAAAATCAAATTTCCCCTAAATTTAACAGCATAGAAGAGCCTCAGATATGGCTTCTAACATGACATTTAGAACATGTATGTTATATCCAGACAAGTGTTTGTTTTTTTTTTTTTTTCCCGTTTTAAAGATTAACAACCTGGTATCTTGAATATATATCTGTTTTTAAAAAGCATCACTAGGAACAATAAAACAAAGCCTGTCCCAAATTCCCCTTAAGCAAGATTAAACAGTAATTCAGATGCAACCATCATGAGAATTTTCGCTAAGCAATTGATAAAACTGCTGGTAAGCAGTTTTTCCTCATGGAAAAGAGTACTTACCTGAAATGACACTGTTGTGAATAATAATCCTTTACTTATTTGGCTTTTACGCTTCTACACAGAACTGCAAGCTCTTTAAACATAGTCAGTGTGTCTGTTAAATGTTACTTAAATCCAAAGTTAGCAGCATTTTTACAGACCTTGCAGTTCACATAGCACCCATGAAAGATGTACGCCGTATCAGAATACCTCACAAAAAGCTGGCATCCATCAAAGACAAAAATCTTTTGATTTCGGAGGTACGCTCCAATACTTTTTACATCATGAAGCACTACGCTTGGTGTGAATTTTTTTATTTGTGCAGGATTCACTTCTTCCACCCATTTGAAAAATGAACAGCGCTCAGCTCTTGGGGCATCACAGGCATAGAACAGACGGCCCTAGGGAGGCAGGAGAGGGAGATCTTAAACACTTTAAACAAGCAAGTTTAAAAAAAAATAGAGCAATTGAGCAGTACTACTTGCTATATAAATATCAGATAAACATCTGTGTTTTCAGCTTGTATAAAATGTGAAACACCTCTGTTTCTCAAGCCAGCTTGTATAATTACAGCTTAAAGAAATCCAGTATAACCTAAAAAATTATTAATTGAAGGCTTTCTCTCACATATTATGAAACTCTCTATGGAGAAAACCATTACATCAGCAGTTCTGGACAAGAACAGCTGCTACCAAAGATCTTAAAAGTGATCACTGTAACACATCACTTTAACTTGTAATTATAACTCACTGAGAGCTGTGCTGGAATTGTTCATGCAACATGGTCTATACTGCAAACATCCCAAACTGCAAACAGACAAGAAATAAACAGCACCTTGTTTTGACCTTCTTTTTTAACCACAAGAACCTTAGCAGGACGCATGTGATCACAGAGTGGAACGCAGCTTTCTTTGCTCTCGCTTTGCTCATCTTTCAATGAGGTGTAAAATGATGTATCCACTTTCGAAAGAGCGTTGTGAAATCTCTGCGACAGCTCAAAAAGCATTATGTTTAAATGTTCTTGGCGTAGAAAGGAGAACAGAAGAGCAATTAATACAGCTTTAAAATGTTTACGTGTACACAGCATTTAAACATGCATTTTCATTTGAAATGTTCAGTTCCATATTTAAATCAAAATAATTAATCTTGGTACTAAAAGAACACGCAGCCTGCAAAATTCACATATCGTACATGAAATAAACTTGTTCTAAGCGCCTTACTTGCGTATAAATGAAGTTTAAATTTGTATCTCCAAATGATGCAAATGCTGAATAGCAGTAGCTCAGAAGAAGGTTAGATAGGACTGCTAAACAGGTGCAAGGTTGCATCTTTGAAAAAGAAGTATACTAATCTTTCAGTTTGTCTTTGTAATTTTGAGTATAGACTGAATATATTTGAGTATATATATATATATATATGAGTGTATACATATGCATACAGAGATGTGTACAGATCCAAGTTCAGATACAAAGAGTTCTTCCAACAATGCCAATTATATCTTTCCCTTTCAACCTGCTTTTGTGAAGCTTCAGAAATACATGGTGTGCAAGTGACAGCATTTTACGTAGCATGGTGTTAGACGTACCTGTCAAAGCAGCTTTAAAAACCTGTTTGTAGTGAACGTGAGACTGAAACTCAGTAGGTATGGCAATCTTTCTTTTAGGAAGATTAGCATGTTTTACTTTATCTGCATTAGGAAAAGACAACTCAGAAACTGTTATATCCTAAAAATAAATAAATAAATAGGCTGTTAAAAGCTTGCAAAATCTTGAGGTAGGTAAATTTTCATAAATGTCTACTGTACAGATCTGTCAAAAACAGATTTTTCAGGACCTTGTTCTGCAACCAGAAGTTTCAAGATGAAGAAGTTTTTCAAAAGCAAAATACAAACCTCCTTTAGCACAAACATTTGCAGAACTTGTTACTAGGAGAATGGAAATGTACTTGGAACTGTAGCACAGTGAGTTGGAAGTATCATTTAAGATGCACACTGAAGTTAAAATTTGTTCCTGGCAGAACAGCTTGTGTTCTTAAGAACACAGGTTTGTTTTGTTGTTTTTATTTTCTCCAATGTTCTCCTTTTTTTTTAAAAAAAAAAAAAGTCTACCAGTCACAAGCAGCTGTGCCAACTGCTAATTCTGCAGGCCGTTATTCAGTGTTGTAACTTGTGTTGCCATTGTTAAAATTATGATACTTGCAGTATCTTAAAATTACTTTGAAGCAGGATGTGAATTTTCACGAAAATAATGCTGATTTCACAATTAAGAAGAATACCTATTGGGAATGTGTTTTTTCCAACAAAATATGAAAAAGCCCATTGTAGTGATTTATCATCTCCTTGCCATCAACATTCAGACTAAAAAAAAAAAAAAAAAAACAATCTTGCACGTTATGGACTGAGGAATTACCTTCATAAAGATTTGGCCACAGTTTAAAAATTCCATTCGCAGCAGAATCTCTTTTGTGCTACTGCATACACAGAAACATCTCATCCTATCATACTGATAATATCTTGCAGGAAATCGGATAAATTAAGTTGCTTTGTCCAAAAAAATGCATTTCTGTTAAATTGTATCTGCTTGAACAGTTACACACCTGGACATCTCCTGTTACAGTGCAGCAGGTCAGATGACTCAACACCTTTTGTGCTGGTTCAGTTAAAGGAGTCTGATTTAAGTGACAAGAAAGTAACTTCCTTTCTGAAATCAAATCTTGGTTGGTGCTACCTGCACAGCATTCACCAAGCATGCTCTTTGCTGTCAGCAGAGGTACAGAGCCGGGAGCGTTGCTGTTCACAGTGCTGCTCTGGCTCTCTCCTGTGTCACCCGGCAGCATTCCAAGGACATTCTCAGCATAGATGTCATTGGTCACGTCCATATCGTTGCTGTTTTGAGTTATCAGGTCACAATGAGCGCTGTTTAGATATTTTACCCACTTGCTTTGTCTATACTGTGAAGTCACATTTGAGAATACTGGGTGCACAGACTTTCTTTGTCTGTCTTCTGTACACTCCTCAAACACGGAGGTTTCATAATTCCTGTCCTCAGGGCCAGAAGCACTCATGGAAAACGCTGCTGGCTTGCTGCTCAAACTGGCTACTAAAAAGCCATTAGATTGCTGGACCTCCTCACTGTCGGTTAGGAAAAAATTGTTAGGAATCTTCTCAGTGGCAGCAACAGTGACAGGTGGAATTTGTGTTTTAACTGTGGAGTTGCATTCCTCTGGATAGCTGTCTTGTTCCCATGCTGTAGAGCAAATACATCCTGTAAGCAACTTTGTGTACTTGCAGATGGCACATTATCTTTAGAGGCACAAAGAACTGAGATAAAGAAATAATTCCAAGTACTTCCTTTTACCACCTATCTTAAAATTGACAGGTTCTTTCTATTGCCCCTGTACCGTGCCATCCATACTACATTTCCACATAGAAGAATCATATTTGAAATCTTATTTTATTATTTGAATTCGTATATTCTGAACACATTTATATAAGCACTCTACTTCTCTGTAAGTAAAAGGTAGAAATTATTCAAATTGAGTATCTGTTATGAAAGTTATAAATCTGATATTTTTGGTGGCTCAGTGATGACAGGCCAAATAGTAAACAAACAGCTTAACATCTATTCCTTTTTACAAAAAAAAGTGCACAAAATTAATGTTAATGTGGATAAAAAGATTTCTAGTACAAAAGACATCACTTCAGCTAAATTCGCTACCAGTAAGAAGTGGCAGTCAGTGATCAGTGTCCATGTAATCACTGAAAGTGGGTTAGCAGGCAGCTGAACATGGATTCAAACTAAAGCAGGCGATTAAGTGAAAACATAAATGTGAATTAAAAGTTTTGCTTACAGCCTTATTTCCCTCTCTGAACAGGAAGGCAATTTTTCTTTATACAGTTGGATCTGTATACTTAAGTTTCTCCCATGGAGAATATATGGGCAGGAATGGGTGGGAAGTATGGAAAAGGAGGCTTGTTGAGGTGGTTTGGAATAAAAGGGAATGGAATAGAAAATTGTGCTTAGAAATCTGAAATACACATATTGGGGGAGAAAAGTGTATCAAACAAAACAAACCCTGTAGTTATACAGACATCAGTGTACTTCAGAACTCAGTTTTTCTTCTTATAGTGCAACTCAGTGCTTCAAAAATCATCACAGATTTTGTAGGAAAAACATTATAAAATACAATTATAAACTATATACTCTTACTGAAAATGTTTTCTGGAAGTTCTGAATCACTTGGTAAGTTCGTGTAAATCAGAGGTTCCTGAATGTCTTGAACGCTTCCTTTTTTTCCTGAAGCTGGAGAAACTGAGGAGTTCAATTGCACTGATGGAATAATCTACAGAATGAAGAATTAGCATTTCAAGTGAATGATTAGAGGAAAAGGAAAGTGGGGGGGGGGGAAAAAATGAAGAAACCTACCCTTGATGAGAGCTCTTTTATCACTATTCTCCCCCTTATCATTCTAGACAATTGAAATGTCTCAGAGTCAAGATGAAAAAGTAACAAATTAGACATGAAGTTGCTACCATGAACACAGGAAGCAAAACCAAAAAGCTGTACAACAGAGTCAGGTCACACCTTGCCAGGTTCCCATGAGGTCCACTGTGTTTCTCCCAAATCAGAACGTGATGGTGAGCTTGACACTATCCACTGTGGAACTTCAGAACATGCATTCAGTGCTGGTGCTAGGACATGAAAAGGACAGAAGTCAAGCAGAATAATTGTTCAGATGCCAATGACTGCCATTCTACATTCACTTGCACTTACAGGAGTGACCTGCTACTGAGTCTTTAATGTTAAACTTCTTTTGAAAATTCTCCTCTCTCATAAAATTCATATTGTCCTCATGAAGACTTCTTGAATCTGGAGACTGTATCAAAAAAGTATCAGTAAAATCTTGTTAGAAATCATACTTTTTATCCTCCTTATAAATAACATCTTTGTGCAAAGATCTCATTTCTAATCACAAAATGGTAACTAGCCTATCCTGGAATTGGAAAAAAAAAAATCAGTTTTCTTCCAGCAGTTTCAATACTGAAATACATAGAGCATTAGAAAAACATGCTTTATTTAACACTGCAACTCATGTTTCTTCTTTGTTCTGGAACTCTCCAAAAACTATACACAAAACTTCAAATGCACCAAAAACATTTGCTACAAAACCTCATCGTCACTCTTCCCTTCAAGGAATCTCTTTTTTTAATATCACACACGTTACAAATTCTTTAAATGAAATAGGTTGAAGAATCATAAAAGCTAAGTTACATGTTGCAAATACATAACTCTGCAACAATAAGTGAAATTAATTACACTTAACTGCAGTATTACATTTGGACTAAGGTTAATAAGAATAACTTGGAAAAAAATTGCTTTACCTCTCTGAAGTCAGAAAGAACATAATTGCATGAAAATGGAGGTGACAAAAATCTCTCAGTTGCAAACTCCATATTGTTTGGGTACTGCTGCCATCCTAGCTGTGAGCAGGGAGCTCTCAACATTGTCTCGCTAGACGCTGATCCCTTTATTTGGTGCCCTTGAAACTCAACAGGCTACACAATACACTGGAATTATTAACTGAAAATAAGTACTGTTCAGGAACTATCTACAGCCAACAAAGCACTTTTCAGAGATACAACAAAAATAACCTCTTCAAAACTGCGGGGGAACAACAGACTATGCTTTTGAAGGTATCTGTATCTTGCTGACCCACAATTCAGCAGCAAGAAAGTTTTCTGTACAGATCTCTCAAATCTCACAAAGTTGTGACATTCTGACACAACGTGATCTGAGAAGCTGGCTAAATATTTATTAGAACTTATTGTAATACGTTGAAAATACTAAGCTACTGGCTTGAACGTTAACACTGTTCATCACACTTCAGTTTCACAGAGAAACTGTACCTTCCACTGGCAGTCAGGTGTCCTAGGGTCTCTTTGGCCCAGTGCTTTCAGTGGAATACACAGCTCAGTTTTCTGTAATAAATCAACCTTACAGTTAGGCTGCTATAAAAGTATCAAAAGCTAATTAGCTTAACAGTTTAATAACCCTTCAGGGTATAAAAAATTAAGCTAATATATCTGAAAATTTTTCCAAAGACCTCATGTACTTATAAAACAGAAGGTGTTGCAAAAAGGGAGAAGCAGAAGAATTTTAGATAGTTTTTTTTTCCTGTTAAGAAGAGATTGAAAGACTATTAACAGCATTTCACAAAAATTAGTGTGAATCATCAAAAATAAACAGATTGGTAGTGCATCTCAGTGCTAAAACTCGTAGGAAGTTCCATGCATTCTAAAAAGTGATGGAAGGGGAAAAAAAAAAAAAAGAAAAAAAAAAAGATGGTAAATATAGTGGCAAAGTACTCGAGTAACTATAATTACTTGTATTAAACATAACAAGATATTACAGTTTGTATTAAGTACACTTTTAGTCTCTAGAACACTTACTAGAAATAAGGTCTGCAAGATGACCACCTCCTTTCCAAGGAAGCGGTTGAGTCACCATCCCTGGATGTGCTTAAGAACTGTTTGGACGTGGTGCTCAGGGACACAATTGAGCAGTTGGTTGTTAGTTGGGGTAGTATGGTCAGGTTGTGGTTGGACTTGATGGTCTTTAAGGGTCTTTTCCAACCTGAGCAATTTTATGATTCTATGACATGTTTTGTTTATTATCAGTTTCTTAGTTGATCCAGGAAGAGGTTTGGCAAAAAAAAAAATATATATATATATATGTATTTTGTATCAACAGATATATGTAATCAAAAACTGGTTACCAAATTGCCAGAAGAATCAACGCATGAAGATGCCTGTATACTTTCTGAGTAAGGCATTTCTGTAAACCGTTTTATAGCTACAAGACATGGAAAAGCATAATAAGATACAGCAGTCACTTATCATAAAACAAAATCTGAATAATTTTAATGATCTTGCACCTCTTTCCCATGTAAAGAACTGTACAGTTAACTGAATTAAATAAAACAGGGAAACAGACTTGGGGGCCACACTGGTGCCTTAAAGGCTGAACATTGTGAGATGTAGCTTTTGTAACATAGTGCTACAAAAGTATGACTTCTGAATGTTAATTGTTCAGCAGGAGAGATGGGAGTGCAGAAGTCAACCAGGAAGTCAGTCATGAAATAGAAACTGATCTAACCTTCGTCTTTGGTAAGTAGTTCAAGTATCTCTTTAGAAGTCTCTGCTTCATGAAACACACTATTATTTTCCTTCATCATTTGTAAGCTGTCTAGTGCTGTGCTACATTGATACAAAGTTCTTAGAAGAGTGATATTGTTTACCAAGTCGGGAAGATCTGATGAATTTTCAGCCTTTGCCATGGATTTCAGGCAATCCATTTCTATTCTTTCACCTTTGTAGGCTCCAAGAGGGACATTCATGCTCTCCAGGTTTTCAAACTCTGTTTCATCCATTTCTGCTTCTTCTGAAGCTGAGCGACCTTTCCCTAAAGGACAAATAGCACTTCTGGAAATAAGAGTACTTTCCTTATTCAAAATGCCAGACAGATTTTGGTGATCTTCTGTAATATATTGGGATGAGCCACAGCAAGATTCAGAGTTTTGTGCCAAAGTCAGCATAGGGCTATCTGGTTTGATGTAATCAATTTTAGTTCCCCAGAAATGTTCTAAATCAAGATCTGGGGATTTTGTGCATTCAAGCTGTATAACATCTTCTTCAGTCTTTTCCTCTGCTGTAGAAATTATACTGGAAGCAGTACATGAAATATTTTCAGTTTTATCAAACATTCCAGTTTTAGGGTGACATTTAACATTTGTGTCACTAGGAAAAAGATCAAAGTGCTTGCTTTTTATTCCTGATGTGCCATTAATGGTAAGTGCTGCACAGCCACCAAGATCCTTTTTATTGTTCACAGCTTCAGTACTTCCTAGGCTTCCATTAATCTCTTTTAAGTTGTTTCTGTCATCCAAAAGTTCCACTTCAATCTTGGTCTGGTTTGAAGAGTCTTCCATAATTCTCTCTGTATCTGTAACATTGTTACAGAACTGTAATGGCATTTGCACAGTGCAGTGATTGCCATCTTTTTCTACATCATATGTTGAACACTTGATTTCTTCCTTTTTGCAGTGTGTCATCACTTCAAAGCAAGAATTAAATCTCAATGCAGTATTTTGTGCCCTATCTTCTCCCTCTAAGCAATCTGCACTTTCTGAAAGCATGTCTTCTTCAGTGAGCTCTTTCTTATTTCCTTCACAGTGCTCTCCATTGTCCATATCATGAAAATCAAAAGCTCCCAGCAGGTCAAAATTAACTTCCATCACCTGTTTATCTGGACTACAGTCTCCGTCACATGTACTTAATTCCTGCTTTGCAATTCCTTTTTCAGTCACTGTTACATCCTCAGAGAGCTCTAAGTCACTAGGCATTCTTTCTGAGTTTTGTTTCAGCTGAAGGTCACTTTGAGATTTGATTGATGAATTATCCTGAAGACCATTAATTGCCAAATGCTCTCTGTATCTGGAGAGAGGTTTTTCAAAGGTGACTGGACTTGCTGAACAAGGAGAGACAAATAGGCTGTCGCTCACTCTGTTTATGGTTGATTCAGATAGTACAGAACTGTTTGTCCTGCAGGAATCTTGTAAGTCTTGGCCTAAACTATTAGCCTTTTTGTTCTGTCTTTGCCCTGTGATTTCTTTATCACAAGGTTCAGATGAATTAATAAGCAAACGTTCCTTTTTATCATTTACCATTTCCTTTGTAAAAGGCAAGTGCTGAATATTTTGAGCAATCTTTTTGTCAGAGTTGACAGAAAAGGCAGGCAGGGTTGTGCTTTTTAGGTTATACAAACTATTTATGTTTTCCAGTGCTTGAAATCTATGACATTCTGTGACTTCAGATGTTGCTTGCTCTCCACAGACCTGTGGTTTAGATTTCAAAAGGGCTATGATCTGTGCTGTGCTCCTGATGTTCTGTGACACTGCCCCATGACCAGTTGTCCAACTACTAGACTTGGTGTGCCCACTAATTAGAGGAGACTCTGGCTTTACCATGGACTGATCAGAATTTTTCTTCTCTATTTCATTACATGCATGAAGAAATGGAAGTGAAACCATTGAGGAGGGAGTCACACGATCTCTATTATCTGTACCTCCATCTTCATGCAAGTCTGCAGATAAGCTTGTTTCTGCATTCTTCTTGTAAATAGTAGAAAATAAGGGAGAGGTAATATAAAACCTGGATGGAAAAGGATCCTGACTCTGCTCAGATATAGGTGATACTGCCATTCTTTCTCCGTCTTCTGCTGTTGATACTTTCTTTTCAACCTGACGTGGCCCTTGGAAACCCTACGAGAGGAACTTAAAGTTACTTCTACTCAGAAAACAACTTCACATTTCATAAGCAAAAGATGAAAATTGAGCACATTCCATAAGATATATTCACAGAATCATAGGAGTTGGGAGGGACCTCTGGAGATCATCTAATCACTTGCTAAAGCAGGTTCCCTACAGGAGATTGCATAGGAAAGCATCCAGGTGAGTCTTGAATTGAGTCTCTCCAGAGAAGATTCCATACCCTCTCTGAGCGGCCTGTTTCGTGCTCTGTCACCCTCACAATAAAGAAATTTTTCCTGAGGCTCAGAGGGAACTACCTGTTTTGCAGTTTGTGCCCATTACCCCTTGTTCTGTGTCTGGGCACCACCAAAAAGAGCCTGGCCCCATCCACTTGGCTCGTGCCTTTAAATATTTATAAGCATTGATAACATCCTGTTGTGGTTTTGTGATTTTTGTTGTCGGTATTCCACTTCAGAACATAATGTAAAACAGTGGGAGTTAAAGAGTTAATGTTCTGGTTCTGTGGACTGCCTTTGTTGGGCATTTTGGGTTCTCAGAGGGGAGGAGCAGCATTCCCAGAGGACCTGGGCAGAAGAAGAAAGGTGGAGCTCCTGGCAGGAGATCAGCCATCATCCTTCCCTCTGACTCTCTCTTGGTTTGCCCTGGAGAAAAGCACATGCTTCCCCTGTAGTCCTCTAGCTAAGATCTCGCAGTTTGGACACTTTTCTCTCTGTGTTTGTTGAATTTAGTAAATTACTGTTCCCCCCTCAGATTGTTGCTGTTGTTTTCCTTTTAGACACATCTGCCCTCCATCTTCCCTCCTCCAGGAGCACATGGCCAGCAAAGTGCCTTGCCTCATTTTGGTCCAGGGCCAGCCACTGCTATGCAGAAAGGGGTGGGCTGTTGTTTTTTTTTTTCTCTCTCCCCCCCCCTTTGTCTCCTTCTGGGCTTGTGCCTCTGTCATGGACTAAGTTATTTAGAGACAAGTCTGTGACAGATTCCCCTCTCAATTCCACGGGCATATAAAAATAATCACAATCCTTGCAGTTTTCACAGCAGCTTTAGTAATAGTAATTCCACTAAGCTAAACAAAGATTTAAAGAGCCTTGGAAAAAATTGCTACTGGTGACATGCCTTGACTTATAGTTCCAAAACAAGGTAGGAAGATATTATCTATATATTTACTATTCCATTTAAAAGTGCCTTTTGTGTTTTAAAATGTATGCTAATGTCAGACAGATTTTGAAACAGACATACTGTAAACTTCCTCTTTAAGCCAACAGACAGATGTCTTGGAGGCAGAACTGCAGGCTTTAAACCACGTCTATTCACATCTACTAGTTCAGGTTTCCTTGGTTGATCTCCACAAGATTTTTCCTTCATTTTTGCTTCTTCAACCATGATCAGATATCGTTCACTTTCTAAATTATCTCCAGATTTCACCTAGGAAAAGAGAATGCAATAGTGTGTATGTAATAGTGCTATTTAGGAAACTACAGATCTTCTAAATATTGTATTTACTCAAATGTAAATTTTTTAGAACTGTAACATTTTATACCCAACACATCACAACCACTGTATATAAAGTTAGATTAATTAATAATGGAGAACATTAGCACCAAGTTATGTTCATTTAATACATTACTATGATATACTGCTTTTTTACCCAACCCATGTAATTCCATGAATCCTCTACATTTGTTCTGGAAAACCAACAGTAAGTTCTATCAGCAATTGAAAGCATTTTTAGTTTTCCATTATTTGCACTACAACTGCCAGAATGCTGGGGAAAAAAACCACCTTAATTGCCAAACAAACAGGAATTTGAAATGCAAACCACAGTAAAAAGCATAAATACCAAGCTCCAAATAAAATATACCTGGGATTTTACAAACATACTCTCCAAATATTGTCCTTTATCATCAAGCAAGATTGCCTGCAAGGAAAAATAAATGGAATTAAAAAAATCAATTTTACTTCACAGGTCGACTAAATGGCCACTGACTGTCTAGCAAATGATATTAAATCTAAAGATGCTCACCCTATTTTCTCCAGGTCTAATCCTCAGAATTCCATCTTGCCATGTTTTTGATTTTTTCATTTTTTGGTGAGTGTACAACACCTGATGTAAAAGGGTGAGATGTTGGAACAGTCATAAATTTAAAAAAAAAAACCGTTTAAATAACACAGCAATGTCATTTGATTGATTTTTCCTGAGTGGCATAATGTTAAAAAACTTACAGTAAATTCTTGAGAAGCCATTGCTTCGGCAGAATGGTCCTTCAACGGCTTATTTCGCAAATGCTTCATACAACCTGAGGGACAGGGAAAGGCTCAGAATAAACCGGTGTTTAATAAAGCCAGAAACCGCTAACAGAAGAACGTTGTCACCGGTTCACCAGCTCCCAGACTGCGAACCGGCCATGCGTGCGGGACTGAGGTGGCTGACAGTGACAGCACAGCTACAACCGCCCTGAGGGGATCGGCAGCGCTCCCTCAGCCCTACAAGCACGGGAGGAGCGGGACGCGCAGCGATGCAACGCGGAGAGGCCCACGCAAACTCGTTACGCACCCCCGGGGCGCTGCGGCGCTGCCCCCCCGCCACCCACTCAGAGCCCGAAGCGCCCCACAGCCGCCGCGCACCTGAGGCAGCCGCCGCCGTCCCGCCGCGCTCCGAACTTCCCGCCACAGCGCCTGACGTCACCACGCCCCGACGGCGCCGAGGAAAGCCCCCCACCTCCCTCCCGCCTCACCCCGCCCGCCGAGAGGAAATCACGTGCACCACGCGAGGCGCGGCCGCTCCCACTTCGCGCATGCGCGCGTCGCTCCGCGGCGCTTTTCTCTCCGCGGGGGCCGAGCGTCGCGCCCGCAGTGACGGTTGAGAAACGGGAGAGGGAGAAGAAGGCGGCTGCGAGAGGCGGGGGGTGCGGCCCAGCATCCCCGCGGCGACGCCGCCCCGCGGCAGGTCAGTAACGAGCGGCGGGGGTGACCGTTGGGGGGCGGTTGCAACGGCGCAAAAAGGGGGCGCTGCCGCCGCTGCGCGCATGCGCGGGACGCAGCTCGCGGGGCGGGGCGGCGACGCGCCGTTGGATGTGGGACAGCGGGGCGGCAGTTGTGGTCCTCAGCGCGTGGCCGGGCTGAGGCGTTCCGCCCGTCCTTAGAGCCGCGATCGGCCCGCACAACCCGTGCTCCCCGGGAATAGGTGGCTGGCTGGTCCCGCTGGCTGGCCCTGCTGGCAACCGTTAAGTCGTAGAGAGGAAAGTCTGCTGCTTTCCTTTGTTTGAAACGGGAGAAAGAAAGGAGGCGAGGCTGTGCGGTGCCTCCGGGGCAGTCTGTCAGCAGCTGCTAACGGGGCATCGGCGCGACTTCCTCTGCGTGTGCCCGTACCCTGCCTGCTGCTCCGCTCCTGCTCCGCCTCCGTAAATAAACCAGTGCGCACGTCCAGGAGAAACTCGCCGTAACATAGCTGCTGCTCGGGTGCAAGAGCTGCCCTGGCTCGGTGGAGAACGAGGCGCAAGGAAGGAGTGTGTACCAAGTGAGAGAAGAGCTGGCGCTGCCCGGCTCTGGTAGCTGTGAGGGACGGGCTGAGCGCGGCAGGACCGCCGTGTGCGCTGCTCCCAGGCGCAGCCCACGCCGTGTTTTGTGACAGGTGGCAAACAGCTCCGCTGTCACTTTAAAAGCTCATACTGGTTTCATTCCTTGGACTGGTGAAAAAGCTGGAGGATCTGTTGATTATAGACTATGAAGCAAGCTGTGCAGGGCCTTGTGTGACATCTTCCGACCTTTGTCATTTTCTGTAGGTTGAAATTACAGGGTAGGAAGTGAATTCAGAGAGGTGTAGCAAGGAATGCCCGGGGCGGTCTGCAGAGTACATCTCTGAAAGCAGTTAGAGGTATGCTGGATGTTTGCATTTATTTTGTTTATTTTGTCCAGAAAAGGAATTATTATCGCTTAGTATGGAAGCATTCATAGTATAAAACATGTTTTGTATGGTCCAACCTCTCCTCTTGATGCTTGAAGGCCCACAGTAAACAAGCAAGCTTGATATCGGTGCTTGATATCACAGAAGCAGATGTTTTACAACTGGACCCCTGTTCCTTTCACTTTGTATGACAGATGTTGTCACGTTTCTCTAGGTATCTTTGTAACATAACTTAAATTTGAAATTTGTTTCTGCGCAGTTTACTGCTAGTGTAATTCGATATTTCCCTTCTAAAAGGATGTAAGTATATTATCACAGATCTGTGTGAAGCCATATCATTTTGATTTACATAATCTTTATCTAGCTTTTTTTTTTCCCTCTGATGAGTTATTCTTCCTTTTCTTGGTTCCTTTCTTCCATATGCAGACACTGATAATTTAATTTCAGTTCAGGAAAACTAACAGCTGTAGCTGTATTGTTTTTATAGACTGAAATCTCGACTTCAGCTTTTGCTTTCTTCTGATTTGCATTGTTTTGTGGGAACAGTACTTGCAGTTGTGAGGCTGGCAGCGCAAGAGCTGGCAAGGCAACAAAAGCATGGACTGCCTTAAACCTTGACATTGCAGCGTTCTGCGTTGAGATCTGCAAGATTAATTGCAAGCTGAAAGAATACCGCTGAAAAAGCAAGTTTCATGAGTTAGTGATATGTTTTCCTATCAGCAGAGTTTTCTTAAATGCTGAGTTTAATCTCAGTGAACTCTCAGGTGTATTTCACTACTGAAAGTAAGATTGTATACAGATTCCAGTAATAGATTCATAGCTGACATTTTCTCTGGCTCAAGGCTCCCCAAAGCCATGTTTGCAAAGCTTTATTCCTAAAGCAGCACCTAAAAGTGGGTGTGGGGGTGGAGGAGGAGCAAAACAGAGCAGGATACAGCTTGTAGCTGTTTGTGTTTCCCAAATGACTCAAAACCTATGAAATGCTTTAGATAGCTTCTTAAAATATAGCTCTGCTGTACATAAGCCGTATTTGTTATGTGTTAGTGGGGTCATAAAATACTGTTCAACTAAAGAAAATATCCTGTAATGGTGTAACTCGCTGTAGCTTTCAGCGAAGTGGTATGCAGTGCTGAAAATTAATTCAAGTTGCTGAAGGGCTCGAATGTAGCTCGAACTTCAGTTGGGAGTTCTACCTGGCTTATCTTTTCAACGTAATTGCTCTTTCACTGTCTTGAGTGGTTAGCTCACAGCAGGGAGCGAAACTGACATCCGGCTAAGGAGGTGCGATTTGCACAATAATTTGAAGACCATCTCCATTGTTGTTGTCCTGCTGCAGATGTCAGCTTCCTCTCTGATGGCTGTACTTTTGTTTCCTTATGTCGTGTACAGGGAGCTGAAAAGTCTTTCAAATGATGATTTCCTTATTAATTGCTTTATTTTTTGTGTTAATTTTGTTTTTAAAAGCTGTCTGCTTTTGCCGGTATTGCTTTGCTTTGGCTTGACTAAAGTACTCTTGACTGGCATTTTAGGATGACTGCATACCTCCAGCGAACAGAAGCATGAGACAAAAAAAAGTGAATTGATCTATGTAGAAGTTTTGATATTTTTTTCCAAGTAAAGCTGTAACTTCAAGTCACCTTGCTACGGTTTAGTCCGTTATTGTAGGGACTGGGGTAAGAAGTTCCAACAGAACTTGATTTGCCATTAAAATCAGTGACTCTTAGTGAAAGATCTCCAAGCAAAGAAAGATGTTTAAGTGTAGCACTTACTGAATGGCACCTGGACTTACAAGAAGGGTGGGAATTGTATTTCCTATTAAACGTTAATAGATGCTTTTTATTTGGAGATTTTACTGTATGTTCTTGCAGTGAGCCCATCTGCAGCTGTGTGTTAATGTCACCTGCTTGCAAACACGGGGTTTACAATATATGCCTGCTGTGTGTCGTCTTGGGGCCAGCCTGTTTAGAAGTTGCCTAGATAACCTAGCTTTTTTTTTTTTTATCCTACTTTGTCTTCTACATAAAAGGGTAGTTTCTGAGTTGTAGTTCTTCGTATTGTTTTTTCATATTTTTTTGGAGGGGGGGAGGGGGAAGTCTTTCTCATAGTTTGTACAGGGACACTTGGGAAGGTGTAAAGATCAAGTGATTTCTGTCCTTTTTCAGCTCTAAGAAAGTGTATTTACTGAGGGGACAAAGATCTACTTTTAGGTGGATTTTGTAAACTTCCTTTAACAGGTTGTTTCCTTCTCTGCTAATGAGGAATTTACCTTATTGAAGGACATTTAATTATCTCCACAGGTACTTCAAATAATTCAGTAACATATTTGTTAATAGCCTTGCTTTTCTGACAGTGAATAAAAACTATAGATGTCATGGCTTGCTGAAATTCAAAATCTTTCTTTAGTAATCTAATGGGAAGAGCAGGCTGCTCGTGAAGCATTCTGGATTAACAAAATAGAACAAATTTTCAATGGGAAGACTGTGGTTTGGCAGCAACCTGCCTGCAGTGAATTACTGTGGCTAGAAGGCATTGCAGGGAGCTGTGAGACTTGGGTTTCAGCTTAGTCTTCACCACACAGTTATTCTGTGACCTGAAGTTTCTCACCTTCTCTGTACTTGGTACTTTTCTACACTACGCAGTATTGAATGACACATGTTATTATAGGGAATGCATAAAGCTAAGCTCCTTAACATGTGATAAAATTTCTGAAAATTACTGTGTGGAGGTGCAGAGTTTGTTCCATGCCGTAACATTACTTTGATTTTCTCAAAGGTTGTATTTAACTTTTGATTGACAGAATGACGGGAATGGAGACTGAAGCTGCAAGAGACAAAGCCATGGAAGAGGAAAGCACTGAGCAGAAGAAAGAGAGGGAGAAAAAGAAGAGGTCGAGGGTTAAACAGGTGCTTGCAGATATAGCTAAACAGGTGGATTTCTGGTTTGGCGATGTTAATCTCCACAAAGATAGATTTCTTCGAGAACAAATAGAAAAGTCCAGAGATGGATGTAAGTTTGTATTAATTGCATGTCAGTAAACAGATGTGATTTTGATTTTCTTCTTTGCTATATTGCAGGCGATGTTACAATTTTTAGGTTCATGTCTGCTTGTCTGGAAGAAAGCAGTTGTGTACTGCAAGTCAGCAGTTAATAGTTTTTGTTAATAGTTTTTTCATGTACCTTTTCTGCTTTCCTTTACCACCAGCTGTAGAAGTAAGTCAGAAGCATCTGCAACAGATGTAGTGATTGTTTGAGAGATCTGAATTGTAGTTTTTTATTTTTAAGTTATTTTTAGTATAATTAATAGCATGAGCAAACAAACAAGGGTCATTATTTCCCTGAGATGTACAGTACCTGAATTGTAGGGTAGATGTATGCCACTTTTTCAGTTTGATATACTTTGTTCCTCTTTTCTTGGACAAGTTTGATATGTGAGTGATTGTGCATTTGCTTTTGTAGGGCTTTTAGGGGTCTCTTTTCTGCTGGCAATTTTTGACAAGGTTCATTTGACTTCAGATTAGGAGATGGAGCTTGATTTTGGAACTACTTGACAAATTCTGAAGCAGAAGTTAATTTACACGTTAGCTGCAAGTATTTGCTTTTTGTGTTAAGAATAGTAAATTTGTGATTAAGATCTGTATTGAGCGTATTTGCTCAATTGTGTTACTCCAGATGGATGGTGACATCAGTTGTGCTATATCTATAGAGAGAGGCAGTGCTTTTCCAGCAAAAGAAATAATGTATTTCAGACTCCATAAGTGTTCTTACTTTGCTTTCTTAAGGACTCCATACTTGCTTGAAGTATAAATTGTTAG